GTAGTGCAAGCTGAATCCTTGGGTTCCTTTAAATCAGAGCTAGATAAGATTTTAACAACTCTGAGCTATTAGTTAAGTTCTCCCCAAGCGAGCTTGATGGGCCGAATAGCCTCCTCTCGTTTGTATAGTTCTTATGTTCTTATGTTCTTATGTTCTTAACACATTTAGGTACACGTGCACATTGCATAACCCTGTATCAAAGCCTATATCTACTTCATATTTATTCCTGGGGGCGTGACCCCTGATACCCACCTGCCCACTGACGAATTCCAAGCCTATAGCGTCCACCTTGGCACTGCTGACCCCCAGCAACACGCCATCCATCTCTGAGGTGCGGAACTCCAGGGCAACGACCAGGTCTGAGCGTACCTTGTAGCCCTCTTTCCCTGGTAGGGGGGGGGGGATTGATAAGCTCTACATTGCAAGCCTGAAGCACAGTCTGGTATAACCTGTGTGACATCACAGTGGTTAGATGGGTAATAACCAGACATTGAGCGAGATGCATGAAGAGTAGATCAATTTGAAAGGATCATCCATTGGGTGTGCCAAGGCTTAAATTCAACAAAATCATCAAATTGGCATGTAGGACGCAGCAAATAAGCGGAAACAAACTGCAAGTTTGCAAAGGTAAATTGACTTCATAACAATGAAGAACATGACGCCACAATTCACGTTCATGTACGAAGACAAAGTCACAGCTTAAGCAGAAAAACAGACGTGAGTGTGTGGTGATCAGTGTCTGCGCATAAGCAACCAAAGAGCGGAGGCAGAGATGGAGAAAAATTCATCTAACTGGTAGTTCCCAAGTCAAAAAATAGACAGCTGCCTAATCGGTAACCAGGAGTAAAACCTGGTGAACAGCACCAGTCATACAAAGAAGATCCCAAAACACTCCCTTCCGCAACCTGCCACACCCATCCATCCATCCATTATCGTAACCGCTTAATCCCCACTGGGGTCGTGGAGGCCCGAAGCCTATCCCGGGAACAACGGGTGCAGGCAGAACCTGCCACAGGGAAATTTAAAATCCATCACATCAGCTGTATACCTTAACAGCCAAAAAATTAAACAATTAATTAAATCGTTACAAGCCAAAATCTGACGGGAAGCCTGTCAGTCTCAATAGCGTAACTGTCTCAATATTAGCTGCTAATGTCCATTCAGTGACAGAGGAGTGAAAAAGGCAAGGGCTGCCAGACTTACCAAAAGCCGCGAAGCCTGTTCCATTGAAAAAGGTTCCCTCCTGGGCGTGAGTGAAGCAAGGTGTGACACCGAAGGCCTGGATGGGGCTCTGGGTGTCCAGGGGATGGCCATTCAGGGTGACATCCCTGACACAGCCAGCTATGCTGTGTGTCACCTGAAGAGACGTGCAGGGGAGTTGTTTTTTTAATGCCGTGACAGGGCACAGGACACGGTTGCACGTTGGGGCACACTCACGTTGCCGATGTTTTTGGCAGTGTAGTTAGAGGGCAGGCCTCCCAGGTAAAGCACATCTTGCACGTCCAAGGTGTTGGCTTTCCCATTGGCCTGGACCGGCCCCGAATTCCTGCCGTCCACGCTGACCACCACGTTCTTCTTCCCAAAGTCGGCCTTCACCTGCGGCCACAACAGAGCTATCAGCAAGGTGCCCCCCTGATACACCCTGGAATTTAAATTAAATCTGATCTGATCTCATTTAACTTGATACCTGATACCTGGATTCACTAATAATAATTAGGCCTAACTTTAAGATGGACCCTAAACATTTCATTTTCTTGCACTTCGCAGACACTCCTTAGTCTTATACGCTAATTAAATGTTATTTGTAAAAAGAAACTTTTTTCTTTCTCTTCGGTAAAAGTCAAAGTTAGTTAAGGAAACAAAGAATTTATTGTTAGCAGAAGACCAATGAGGACCAGTGCAGAACCTTGATGATTTTTTATTATTATTATTAATTGGATCATTCTGGTGAGATGCTAATTAGCATTATGAATCCCGTTAGTGTTTGAACTCTGGAACTGCTGAATTTGAATGTATTCATGTATTGTGATTAATTTAGTGAAGGGTAGCTTTAAAAGGAAAGAAAAAAAGCGGTCAAGATGTGATTGCACGTTTTGATTCGGTGTGTTAAGGTGCAGGCTAAGGTGAGCTTCAGCTGAGTAATTAGCTGCTTGGCTCCGCAGGCTAGTGAAGCTCGTCCGGCTCGTGGGCTGAAGACACGAGACACCAACTGCCGTTGAAGTGTTGTCCAACTTGACAATAACCGTTAATTGTTGTTCCATTTAAAATTAACTTTAATATAAATGGATAAGGAAGTATAGTTTGGTAAATATACTGCACCCAATTTTTTATTTTTTAAATATTCCCGCCAAAATGGAGTTTACTGCAGCCTCTGTCGTTGTGGCCATTTCCAAGCATCCTGCCTTTGGACCGCCGTGCTCCGGGAATTTGGTAAGAGAAAATTTAATCAAATGAAGGAGATAGAGGAGGTCCTTTTGGATTTACTTTTTTGATGATTTCAGGGTCTTCATTTTCCCCTTCCTTTTGTTGGACGTAACAGACTGAGTGAACTGGTTAAACAATTGAAATTTGTTCTTGTCATTGTTTACACGTTTACACGATGTTCATTTTTTTCCTGGACATCAAATGTCTTTGTTCTTGTGGAGGCTGGCGGGTCAGTAGCCAACCAGGAAACAAAATTGATTTCCAGAAGAAAAATGAACTTTTGCTGTTACTATCATCATAGTTTAAAAAAATCTGATCTAAGCTCTTCACTCTCCCACGCAGTCGGAGGGCAAAGAAAAACAAGTCTTTTACGTTACAGTTAGTTATCGTATAATGCTCAGGTGGTGTGCCAAAAAAACGTTTAGGTTACTTCTTTAAATTATGCTGGGGAAATTGACAATAACAACAGTAATAAAAATAGTGATTATTATTATACAATATGGGATAGATAATGATTATATTGACTATCCCAGAGGTCCTCCAGTGATTTTACAGCATTGCTGGTATAGCGGTAACATGCAAGATTCTCATTTTTGTGACCCAGGTTTGATTCTAGGGCAGCTTGTGGCTCCATGGGCTAAGCCTTAGTGCTTGTGATCATAAGGTCACCAGTTCAAGCCTGGCCTCAGTACATATGCAGGTCACCTACAGAGAGCAAGTTGGGGGAGGTGTAAAGAGAGTTTCTTCAAGGGGATAGATAATAATTATTATTTTGATGAAATATTTAAGAAACTTAAACTGATAATGAGGTAATGCTGGAGCTTGTCCTGATGCTAATCTTGTATGAAACGGGACTAAGGTGAGAGAAAGTCTGGGACTCTGGACTGCTGTGCAGTAGTGCCCCTAGTGGCCTGACTCACTGTGTGCCACTGGCCATCGTTGATGGCTTTGGAGAACGTGGCTGTGGCAGAGCTCTTGCCCAGGTCGCAGGTGAGGAAGACGCGCCCCCCCTGCAGCTGGAGGGTGGCATAGTCCACCTGGTTGGGGTGAGCCATGTAGAAGAGGAGGCCGCTGGAGGCAAAGGTGCGCAGAGATAGCTGAAGGGAGAAGCTGCCGGAAAAAGGGGACACCAGAGGAGTGCTTAGCCATGGGTCCAGAGGAGGAGCTGAGCTCCGCTGCGTGTGGAACGTGCAAAGTCAGGAAAGCGGATAAAATGATAGTATGGTGCTCACCTCTTCCTCACAGTCTGTTGGCTTATCTTGAACATCATGTGACTATACTGGGAGATCCCGAACTGGTGGGCCCCTGTGATGCTTCCCATCTGCTCTGCTGCCACGCACTGAGGACAAGCAAATACTCTTTACGTTGCGCAAAATAGGAGGCCTGCTTTGTGACACTGCTGCCTTTTAAAGCCTTGTAACCACTCTAATCTGTGTAGATCTGGCATAGGGAATTCTTCCCCACTACACCCATCTCATCTTTTTGCTACCCTGGGACATGCGTTTAATCCAGTGGCCCAGCACTGTATACCATGGGGTGACACCTCCCTCTAGTGGATACTGGGTACAATAGCACATGGCACAGGAACTAAGAATGTACCTTAGCAGTGCCTGGGGATATGGCACTGAACTCCACTGGTGGTACGACAGGGGTCAGGACGGGGGCCATGGGAGTTGGCTCTGGATGAAGCTCACTGTCCTCGGGCAGCACGGGCCGCTTCGGCCGCTCATCCAGCAGGCAGCTGTCCATGTCCACGTTCTCGTACCTTAGTGCTCGCGAGAGGTCCAGCAGCCTGTGCCGTGAGGAGCAAACCATGAGATTTGAGGGACCCTCTTGCACGTGTCTGTGGAATCCTGCAGGGTTAGGGAGCATGTGGACTTACTCCATATTGAGAGCTATGTTCTTGATGCAGCCGTAGAAGGACTGCGTGGTCTTGAGGCGACCCCCAGCCACTCCTGAGGGAACCCCCCCAATGTAGAAGCCGCCCAGGGCCAGGGATCCCTTCTCTGATAAAGAGCTCAGCTTTAATGTGTCCATTTTGTCCTCGTCCACTAACACCGTCAACGTCCTTCACCATGAGGGACAGACACAAATAGGCAAATACACATCAAACATCCTATTGACAGAGCAATGTAGTAAACAAGTACAGTGATGTTGACTTAAATGAGAAGCTGGCTTTTGGAATTTTGAGGAACTGACTTTCGGTGCATTTCATGACTCAGCCCTTATTCCATATACACACCTCCGGTTACGCTGTAGGATCAGAGAATGCGCTTCCCCATCACTGAAGCTCCCATTATTGGACTTCAGTACAACCTTCTGGGGACCACCAGCATCTCCAGCGGCCAGGTGCACCTCCAGTCGGCCAGACACCAGCATGACGGCCAGGAACACCTAGAACAAAAAAGACGTGTTGTGATGTCAGCAGGTCATTGCAGTACATGGGTGTTGTCCTGTTAAGGAAAAGGGGAAGGGGAACCTCATGCAGGTGTCCTGAGACCCAAGGGGCTTACCTGGTGTGCCTGCCTGCGCATACGATTGCCTTCTGGGCCAAAACTGGCCAGGATGATGCCTGTGTCATTGCGGGTGGAGAAGGTGGCCATAATTTCAGCCTGGGGGGGCACTGTCAAGGGGGGCAGCTCTAAGAAGCCTCTGTTCAGGACCGTCACGCTGCGAATGGGCTGCAGCACAAGGGCACAGGAACACAATATGTGTTTGAGGACTGTCCAGGATTCACAAATGTTAATGAATAAAGGATGTTTTTTTTCTGTTTTTTATTCAGGGTGCATGGCAAGCTCTTACCTCTAAAACGCAGCCTTTCCTGACCCCATATGCATCTCTCAGCAGGTCGAAGTTTGTCCGGGCTATTTCCAAGTTTTTGATGCAACCCACGTAAGACCGAGCTACCACTTGCCTCCTGGAAAATATGGTTGGGGTTTAGTGTCCCCGTTTCACCAGAATCCACGTTGACAGAATCCATGTCTCCTTCACACCTATATACCGTCATAACTACCTGGGTTTCAATTAATCATTAAAGCATTTAATTGATCACCAAGAGACTGCTGCTGATCCTGGACAATGAAATAATGGCTAACTCTGGTACCATGAACTGGAAAATGCAGAACTGTAAGATGACTTTTCGACTTTCGTCACTGAAGACTTAAGGGATGATGTAGGTATAGGAACAGGCTGGTACTGACCTGATGGGCCTGGAATGGGGCAGCCCACCTATGTAGATGGGGTCCCGGTCAGATCGGTTCAGGTCTGAAGCTGTACCAGGAGAATCTGCTTCCAGGGTCTCTCTCTCCGAAGGGACGTAGGCGTCCATCACCGTCAGGTAACCTGAGGCACACGGTGTACCAGTTTCTCATTATAGCATATATGTATAATTACCATGAGTATGCTAATACAGAAGCTTCTTTTTTACATTACATTGTTTTCCAAAAACATTACAGTTCTTGTCCTTGACCTCTAAAGTTCCTCTGTAACCTGATTTAATATGACTCTGAGGGATGGGACAGATGAAATCAACCCTGATGTTGCGTTTACAGCCACCAGCAAGTTTAACCATCATCCTGTTGCTTGCATGGATGGTTCCCACTGGGTTCAAAAAAAGATTGGCACAAGTTTTTCCCATCCACCCATGGGTTTCAATCTCCCATCCCTTGCTCACAGTGAAGCACTCCAGAAAACAGGAAACTTAGCACTCATCTAATATCCACCAGTTACACAAGGGCTCCAATAAACGATTTATAAATCATAAGGCAGTGGTGGCTGCTGGAGTTAATTACTGCAGCCATATCTGGGATTGATTTAGCTTCATTTCCTTACAATACACACAGCCTGCAATCCATCAGAAAACTGAGTGCAGACTTACACCAGCTATTTACCTACCCTAAACAGCCACCACAAGTGAGCGATCAAATCTGCTTCGTAACGTCATAAAGCATGATTTATGAACTTCTGAATCAGCTGAGCTGCTGTATCAACCACAGACTCCTGTTAAGTTAACTCTGCAGGTATTGATATCTACTTGAAAGTGACCCTAAAATTAAATTAGGAGAACAACTGAGGTGACGTCACAATATTTCAGAAGCAGAAGAATACAAACAAAGTGATATAAAATGAACCTGACAAGGAAAATACATAATGGAGACAAACCTTTCTGCTTGTTCCTCTGTAGGGCAATTTTGTACCAGTTGCCTGTGTTGTAGGTATTTTTGGAGATGAGGGTGAGAGGTCCTGACCCCAGTTCAAAGGTCAGCCGCACTTTACCTTCCACCAGCTCAATGGACAAAAAGTCTCTCTGTTAAACAAAAAAACGTCCATGAATGTCCAAACTGCTTGTATATAACCAGCCAGTGTGGAAAATAGTATATACTAAAGGACTTATCAATGGAAATCATGAAACTAATCAAGGAAATGCCATGTCAGTGGACTGATGGAGCCGTACCGTGCCATTGGAGGCCAGGTAGAGCAGCAGGCCATTGGGGGAGAATGTCTTGAAGAGCATGACGATGTGAGTGGCCGTGGAACGTAGAGCCTTCTCCACTACAGAGTAGCCACTGCCGTCAAAGTAGAAGGCAGTCTCCTCTCCCTGTGGACTGGTGACACACAGAGTCATGAAAGGTCACCCACTGGTCCTACAGACTCAACAAAAGAGCACAACTGGGTGAAACTGGTCAGTACCTCATGAAGCAGCCCCGACACTGGCCTTGACGCTCAGCATAGTTCCAGAGGCCGATGTCCTTCCCATTCAGGGAGACTTCGCCCATGCAGCCCTTGAACTGGGTCAGCTTCACAGCTGGAGATTTCTGTGGAGTAGCACAAGGAACGGTGAGCCAAGGGGATTCTGGGAACGGTCCCCAATGGACATATGGGGTAACAAAGATGAGGCAGCACTAACCTTGATCTGGCCACTCAGGCCCCCGGCAAAGATCTTTGTGGAACTGTTCACGTCCATCACGGTGGAAGATCCGGGAGATGTACCTGTTTTCATTACTGGCTTCTGCTTGGACTTAAGCTCCTGGACTATGAGAGTCCCTTGCTTTCCAAACCTGTGGCCCAGCACATACAGGATATCACACTTCTGTTAGCAAGCTCCAAAATGTGCTAATTGTCCGGCTTCTGCAATAATTCAAACTGATTAACCTTTTATTAAACCTGGGTCATGTAATTCTCCAAAACAGCTTAACCACAGAGAAAATAAAACTATTCATTCTTTGTCATTACACAACATATTGGGTGTGTCTGAAATCGCGCACTTGCACACTTTTAGTGCGCGATTTTAGGGCGTAGTGCGTTCACACTTACAACTAAGCTAAAATTCAGTGCACTGAAAGTACCCGGATGGTGCACTGAAAACGGCCAGAAAACACAGTGCAGAATGATGGACACTACTCGCACTAAACGGACGCCATTTTGACTATGTAGCGGAAGGGGAGGGACTTTCGGCAAGTTTTCAGAGTTGAATTAAGGCAGACAACAACACAGACACGTAAGCCCAAGCGGAGGCAACTGCTTCATATAAATCTAAGTAACGTTAATAAAATTATTTTACTGATGTATACTGATGTGTAGCCTGTCACTCTCTGACAGCAGTTATAGATAATTTGAGTTTGCGATTATATCGACTTAGAAGAGTTTGCACACGTAAATGTTAGCTGTTTTTTAGCCTGTCGTAGATAGGTTATATACACGCAAATTCATTGTAAACAAAACACAGCAGATATTTTGGCGCGCTGGAGAATCGCGATCAAATGCTAGTCCGTCACTTCCGGTAAGTGCAAAACGTTAGTGTTCCATTTAGGACAGCCCTTTCCCATGGTAGTGTGCACTACAGAAGGAAGTGCGTAGTGCGCACTATGCGCTATATCTCAGTGCACTGATGTAAGTGCGCGATTTCGGACACACCCATTGTGTTTTGTTAGATATCAGATACTTCTCGGATGTTCACCTGGTGGCATGGATCTGGTGCCACTTGTTGTTATTGATCGTGATCTCTGTGTATTCCAGCTTGGCATGACCTGAGCCAGCATCCCACAGGAAGGCTACCTTTCCACGGCGCATCTCCAGGGCCAAAAAGTCCACCTGTGATGGTCAATCAATGACCTTATATTATATATACATACAGATACAATCAAAGAAGGACAGTTTGTGTTTTGGGACCAAGTACAAAAGGCCCATGGGATTCATCCACAGAGTATTCCTCACGTACACTGGAGCTGCTACCCATGTAGAAGAGCAGGTTGTCTGGTTCACTCGTCTTCACTGTCATCGACAGGGTGTTGAAGTTGCTGGAAGACACCTCTGGGCTGTAGGCCCTCACGCAATCTCCATCCGCTGACACTGCTACTTTGATCTATGGGACAGGGGAATTGGGAAGTGAGCAACCTGCTAACCCTCTTCGACACACGCTGTCACTACTAATTCTGTTCCATGACATACATCTGAACACCCCCCCTCCCCCCAAGATTACAAGTTAAATACCAGTTTGGAGGGGGGGGGGGAGGATAAAAGCCTAGAGGAATGTGACTCATATCCAGAAGCAATCTAAGCAAAGTTCTGAGGTAAACAAAACAATGTCAATTTCTCTAAAGGATGCTTACTTCCATTATGAGGGATGATTATGTGATTTTTGTTTTAGTTGATGAAAATACTTGCAGCAGCTGGCAAACGTGGACATCACCCTTCCCTCAAGTAAATCTGTAATGTATTATCTACCTAACTTGTGCATCACTTTGTACAAATGCATCTGCTAAATAATGTAAATATCAAGCAAATAAATGCCAGTGGCAGACAGCTGAACCCAATTCCCTGTGACTATAGACACAACAATCAGAGCACATTGATGATGAATGGAAGACCAACAGCAGACCACAGACCGAAGCGGCTTGCTTGCGCGCCTGGCTGATCAGTTCCCTGATCTCAGACAGGTTCCTGCTCAAGTTCTCCCCCAAGGTCTTCAAGGGTCTGAGGCGACCGAACAGGTATTCTGTCCTCTTCTCCATCTCCCTCAGCTTGTCCTCGGCGGCCCTTGCTGGAGGAAGGGAGCAATGATCAAGCAATGAAAATCTTCTCCAAATGAAGGCATTGTTTTTGACAGGGTTTGTCTGCAGCTTGTGGAGCTGTCCCCACATCACTGAACAAGGCACTTCCTATGCAGGTTTCTGTATTGGACAAATTTCACTGGACACACCTCACACCTCACTGCACACAGTTCCAGAATAGCTGCCAGGTGGTTGTCCTCCACAGCCCCAAATGTTACACTGTGTAAATACTATATGTGGAAGACAGAGGGCAGCACCATGACAAAACTCTGTTGTGTCCTTACCGGTCCTTTCTGAGTCGCTGACAAGCTCGTTGGTGCTCATCACACTGCTGTTGGCACGAGCCATAACCAGAGACCATTCCTCCACGAGCTGGTTGAAGTCTTCCAGCTGTCGCAGGGTAGATAACAGTGTGGTGCTAGCCCTGTTAGCGTGCTCCTTGGCTCCCTGAATCTCTTCTCTGGTCCCTGGAAAAAAAGCGGACAGCGCGACAGGGTTTATGGCACGTAGTGAAACCCACCCAATGGACAGCAGGCAGAATACAATCTTACCATCACCTACGGCCCTCAGCGTTTGCAGACGTTCCGGAAGTCGCACGCTGATGTTGCGTAAGCCCTCAAGTACAACATCTTGATTCATTCTCGCCTGGGTTAGGTTCCTGGAAGCTCCTGTTCTCACAGTTAGACGCACATGTTGACTCTCAATGGTATCACGTCCATGTACTTATGTACCAATTTAACAACATAGAATGCCTGCAAAGCAGCATGCTAGTAGCTGCAAGTACAAGCATACTATAGTATTAATAAACAAGATGGCATTCTCATAAATCCTAAACTAATTTTACTCTGTAAATAGATCAGACATATTACCTCCACATGGCCTTAAATAAATTAGACCCATAGACAGCAAAGCCATACTTGTCAATATCTTGTGTGTGTGTGTGTGTGTGTGTGTGTGTGTGGGCCAGATATACATTACATTGTGAGGACCAATCAAAAAACTAAAAATTCCAAAATGGGGGCTGGGTAGGGGTTAAGGGTGCCGTGATTGGGATTAGGGTTTTCCCCACAGAAATGAATGGAAGGTCCCCATTTAGATAGGTAAGCCAACATATGTGTGTGTGTGGGTTTGCATAGATCACATTTTAGGACCAAATTGTCCCCAAAGTGTAGTAAAACCTTAAATTTCCCTACTTTTGGGACATCTTTTGGATAACCTCAGTTTTATAAAAATCTGTGAATCTAATCAAAAAAGTAAAAATGCCAAAAGTCTTGTATTTGGGTTGGTTACTTATGGTTAAGGGTAGAGATGGGTAGGGGTTAAGATCGTCATGTTGGGATTTTTCCCCATAGAAAATGAGTATTTCCCATAGAAATGAATGGAGAGTCTCCACAAAGACATAATTACAAAGCTGTGTATGTGTGTGTGTGTGTGTGTGTGTGTGTGTGTGTGTGTGTGCGCGCGTGCATCTGCACATGCAGCTAGTATCTTCCACTTACGGGCTGCCTCACTGTTCAGTGAGGTGCTCTCATCTAGTATTTTGGTGCTGTGTTGGACAGCCAAGGAGGTCAATTCCATCACAGACCTCCCAGCTGACAGGGTCTACAGCCAAGGCGGGGAAAAGCAAAGACACACAGCTCAGAATGTAAATTTTTAAGCCATATTTTTTATACACTTTACCATAATTTGCAAGACATCCAGCCATTCGTTTGTCTGTACAGTATGAAAGTGAACCCAATTAATGCAGTACTGAATAATTATAATTCCGCTTTCTTCAGTTTTGTAACCATAGAAAGGTCAGGCTAGAGGTACAGCCATCTGTCAGGAATGACTGGACAAATAATGACTGCAGCGGCTTGTATTTCACTCACCAGGTTAAGGGCGGCGGAGGCGGTCAGGTTGGCTGACTCTGCAAGGCTCCTTGCCTCCTCAGTGACGGACTGGATTTTGTGGTTGGTCAGGACGGTGTTTGTGGCATTCAAGGTGACATTCCTAACACCTGAAAGGTTGCTGAAGAGGATGGTGTGCAGGTGTCACACCGTGCTGGCTGAGCTATGATGTTCCCTGTGCTTTTTCATGGTATGGAAGGAGAAGGAACAAGTACCTCTGCAAAGCCTGGGCTTTTCTGCTTAGCTCCTGAGCATAGTCCTCTGCTCTGTACACCAGACTCAGGGCCTCCCTCTTCTTCATCTGCATCACCAAGGTGTCCACCTGCTTCCTCAGATTGGGGTTCCACAATTCCAGCTCATCCCGGGACCATTCTAACAGCTACGGAACCACAGAACACACAAAAAATGTCACACGAGGAGTAGCGCATACTGCATTAATAAAACTGATAAATGTTAAGATGGCAATGCAAGCTGCCATATGGGCATTAAACAGATGCACTTATGAAATCATACGGCTGACCATCTGCAGCTGTTATCAGAAAGTTATGCAGAAATGATCTTACAGACGTGGAGTTGACCATGTCATCCACCATACTGAGGGCATCGACTTGTACAGTCAGAGCTTCTCCTAGTTCTGCCTCAGCATGTTGGTGATCACTGCTGACGTTCCTCCTCAAATCCTGATGCACGGGGAGGGGGAGATGGTTAGGTGGGGAGCGAGGACAGTCAATGACTGCATCGTCAGTGAGGGCCAAGTCTCATGGGAGGAGGTGATCAAACTCACCAGGAAGCCAGCCAGCCTGGTGGAGGCGCAATCCAGCAGATGGAAGGTGAGGTTGTTATTAGCCTGAGCTTCAGTCAACAGTTCCGTCATGTCCTGCAGCTGGTAATGATGCTTAGACAGCGTGGCATTGATGGTTTTAGCCAGTGTCTCAGCGGCTTCATGGGGCCCATGGAATGCCTTTAGGACCTGCTGAAGTGTGTTCGTTGCAGACCTGCAAAAGGTCCACACAGAAGCAGGTATTACCATCTTCTACACACCATATCATGAGAAGAGAATATTGATAAAATATGTAATTTAATAATGTAGGTGACTAAACTACCAATCACTATAGTTCAAGGCTATTCAAACCACAGTCCTTAGGGGCCATGCAGTTCTGATTTTCCAGCCTTCCTTTACCTGTGGCCAATCAGAATCAGCAATTATTAAGCTAACTACCTGGGAGAACTGAAAACAAGGCCTGGATTTGGAATCGAGGGGCAAATTTGAAGAGCCAGCTTTAATAAAACAATACTAATACTCCATTTTTGGTTCTAAACATGCATGTGACGTTAAAAGGCCAGAAGAAAACCATTGAACAGGGTAACTCCATCCGTTCGGCAAACTTACATCAACTCACTGGAGGCTGTGATGTTCCTGTTCTCAAAGTCCACGTTCCTTATCATGTCCAGCATGGCTGAAATCTGCTCCATGAGCTCAGAGCTGTCAGTGGTATCTAACTCGTCATCCCATGTCTCATTTATGCTGCCAGCTGTTCTTTCCAGAGCTGAAAATAAAACAATTGCACTGTTGTTTGAGGAGGTGTCGTCCCATATATTATGTATATGTAAACATCAACAAGTCATGCCGGCATTTCTCTTTATTGCGAAGGATGCGACAAACAGGATATGCTGTTATAACTACCTTGAACAGAGGACTGCATCTTAGTAATGAATTCCAGTAGCTCATTCCCCTTGGTGAGCTTTTGTTCAGTAGAGTGGGCTAGATCTCCACCACTGGCAAACAGCTGGTTGGCCTGGCAGATGAGAGAGAATGGGTTGTTATGATGGGAAAACTTTACCGATGACTTTTCTCCTGAACCCATATCAGTCATCATCCTCAGCTAAGCAGCATCCATACTCTTCAAGTGAAGAGGTACCAAGACGTACCTTTTTCTGCAGCTGGTCAACATCTTTGTAAAGCTCTGTCAAACTCTCATCGGTCGTTTTAAAAGAAGTGGTTGTGTTCTTCTTCTTGGAAAGCAGAACCTGGAATGCAGAGACAACCATTCAGGGCTGAACCCACAGGAAATTGTCAGGAGTAAATTGATATAAGATGGCAGTCAGGTATCTTGTGCTTGTCAGGTTACTGATCAGTTTTATTTTATCATACTTCATTGGAAGCAAGCCCTGCCATAAGTGTGGTGTCCCCTTCATACTTCATAAGTCTAATGCTTGTACAGAAATATTTATTGGTATAATGTTTGATGTTAATGGCAGAGGTAGCTACTGCTGTGTAACCGTCCAAGATTGAGTGTCGATTCTCTGCTGCCCCCTGGTGAAGGTTCACGTGATTCTCACCTTGATGTCACTGGTGGCATTCTCGAGTGAGAAAAGTTTGCTGTAAGGTGCTAAAATGGCTCCGGTGAGGTTAATTGAGGGGAGGAATTGTTCCAGTGCATCCAGGTCGTTTAGCAGCACACCTGTACACTGGTCATCACAGGCTGGGGTTGGAGGAGAAAACAAAGCCATTTAATATGTACCAGTGGCTACTCTGTGTCCACTTACATGCTACACAGCCAAGTTATTGACATTTCTACAGGTCTGCATTAATCACACGGCCACAAGAACAAATCAGTTAATTTGTGTTTGTGAAGGAGGTCAGTGTTGCCTTGAAAGAGGGACAATGAGTCACTAGAACAGAACAGGTTTTAATATGAAGATGCTAAGTAAGCTATTAGTACTGTACACACAGCTGGTAGAATGGCTGCACACTTATTTAAGGTACTTGTATGTATGGATCTCTCGGCTAAAAAAGGACAGATGGATGTATGAACGTGAGATTTGAAGCCTACAGCTGGCTATGGATGGCTGTTGGTTAAGGGCAAGCCCAGCGACACAGGAACACCTACAGATGCACTGGCCCTCCTGCAGGACGTGCCTCGCGTCGCACTCCTCACACTGGTCACCCCGCACACCCGGCTTGCACTCGCAGCGTCCCGTCTGGCTGTCGCAGCGGAAGTGCAACGAACCAGATGGATTGCAACGGCACACCTTGCACTGGCCGTCAGGGTCCGAGGGGTTGCCATAGTAACCCACCGAGCACCTGGAAGTTGGGGGGGGGGGGGCATAAATTTCAGGACTCCAAAGGCAACATACAACCACTGAGCAGAGTTGCTGATGCTTTCATCTGGAAAGTTCTTGGAATTAAACACTGCCTGCATCTGGGCTATGAAGAACCTGAATGCATTTAGGCCTTCAAATCCTGGGACCAATGTATCACACTAAAAGTAATAGGTGTTAACAGCAGTCTGTTCCAAAAGAAACACACCTGTTCTATGAGCTAGAAGCTTCCAGAATGCCTGGGAGCAGTCAAGAAGACAGACTATAACTCAATGTTGGAGATGAGGTTTCTACCTCTCACAGTACTGTCCTTCATATCCTGGTTGGCAAGCATCACAGCGGAAGTCACCGGCGCCTTCGAGAACACAGGTAGGGCTGAAACTGAAACAAAATACAAGACTCAGGCCCAACAAACACACAGGGACACATCCTTTCCCCCAGTGAATCAAGCAGAGAGTCTGCTTTTATCTGTAAAGGCAGCAAGATTTGTGAACGTGTGTAAATGAAAAGGGTCCTCACTGCTGGCATCCCAAAACGTTTCAAAACCTTACTGAAGAACAGCAGGAAGGTCTCAAATACATATTCTTAAAAACCAGATGGTGAAAAGACAGCCCCGTACCTATTTTTGTTCCCACGGGGGCATGCGCACAGTGAGCAGTCGCTGATGGAGCCGTTCACCTTCCCATAATACCCTGGGGCACATAGGTTGCAGTGGTCGCCCACGGTGTTGTGCTGACAGCCCTGGTTTGATAAGAGAATCGTGCTCAGAGTGAACTACAGCGTGATCCTGTAATGCTGATGGCGTGTAGAAAGACTGTGTGGATGGGACTTTAGGCTGGGTGCTGTGACTGGGCAGGTGCTCCAGGGTGTAGGGAGGGGCCCTACCTGGCATTTCCCAGTGTCCAGGTCACAGGACAGGCTGTGGTTGTTGCACTGGCAGGGAATGCAGGCCTGGATGAGGGGCCTCTGGCCTCTGAGGTTCAGCTCAGTTACGGGCTGTCTGAAATACCCGGGGGCACATTCCTGAAAGAGCATGGGTGCAAAAGCAAAGCTGTGAGGCAGACAGCGTGGAGGAGGGCAAAAGGATGCATTAGTGCACAGTAAAAGACATAATTAAAAATGTCGGTACAATTTTAATTATAGCACAGATCAGTTTACAGATTAAGGGTATGCATTTGTTAGGAATCCATATCTGGAAGGTTGTGGGTTCAAATCCCTTGGCTAGAATGGCTAGAATTTGCATTGTATCAGATTAATGGTGCGTTCTGCCCACGGACTGCACTGCACTCACCTGGCAGGACAGGCCTGCGTAACCCCTGGGGCACTCGCACACCTCCACAAGGCGGGCCAGTGTGCCACCAGCCGGCACCTCATCCACCTCCACTGCCGTGTCCATGGAGATATTTGATATCCTGCGCCACAGTACCACAGACACAGAAACCCGCAATTAACGGACGAGCGGGATGCATGGCCTTCTGTGAAGGGTCAGTCTCGAAGCCCTGCCGCTCACCTGCTCTGCTGCATCCCGCTGCCGTAAGAGGCTTTGATGATGATGTTCTCAATGCTGCTCAAGACGGACATGAAGTCCGAGTGTGTGACGGCTTGTTCGGACACAGAGTTGAAGTATTTCCATTTGTGCTGTGAAGAAGTAAGACATTGGTTACTAAGATGAGGTATTAGCAGCCCACCTCGGTAAGTTCACCTCAATTTTTAATTTTCTTTTAATTTCACTGAGCTCCAGCACACAAACCCCCAACCTTCAGAGCCATTTCTTTGGGAGAATGTAAAACAACGATTCCAATCGATTTTTAATAATGTCCAGGTATTAATGCCAGACGAGTGCAGGCCTCTCACCTCAGTCAGTGGGATCTCTTGGCTGGTCCACACGCCATTCCTCGGTGCAGCCTGGTCCAGATAGATAACCAGTTTCTTCAGGCGACCTCCTCGGATTATAACCTGTGGCTCGTTGTTGGCCAGCCCGGATCCATCGAGAGCAAAGAACGCCGCAGAATACCTCAACATCCCACCATAGGACAGAATCTGTTATGGAGCAGAATAGAATATGGACGACAGTGAGTGACATCAGATATATATCACTGAAAGTGCAGTTCTGTGATATCAGTGGATCTGGTGCAGTGTAACAGGTGACTGCCCCTCCCCCATGAGCATTTGCCTTGTTGCCTTGGAAGCGATCAGGGAGTCTCCAGTAGTATGGCCCAGCCAGTGAGGAACTTTGGACCAGGCTGGTGTCCATCATCGTTTCTGCATCTTGCAGGAAGACCCCTTCCAGGGTGCCCGTCAGATTGCTCTGACTGACCAACCGCAGCCTCTCTGTCCCAGCTCCCAGTGGTACCTGACACGGACAGGAAGATCAGACAGATAGGCAAACGGTGACTTACACTCAGTGCTGGGGAAGTTACTCACAAAAGTAATCCATTAGGTGGGAAAGTATAAATCCACACCAAGGTTTCGTTTCAGCCAGCCAGTTGAGTACTCTGTGAATGTGACTCCTTATACTCAACTGGTTGATTGACTAAAATCCTTGGTCTGGATTTATACTTTCTGGACCTGAACTTTCCCACCTCTGTCTGTAATAGATTACTTTAGTGAGTAATTTCCCCAACACTGCCTACGCAGACATTTATCAAAGGTGAACCAAGCGCGAACGGATACAATTTGCACACGGATCGATCCCAAAATGCATTGCTGCCCTGCCTGCTGAATGGTGGCTTTTTTGCAAACCCACTTGTCTCATTCCTAAACTTGGGAAAACCGCTCCATGTAGCTGGGAAAACTTTCAAGTCTCCCTGGCTGTGGGGTGCTTCCCGCGAGTACCAACATCTGATTTTGGCTTTGGAATAACGTGCATTCGCTAAGTGTTCTGTGTCCTCCAGGTTTCTTGGCGGCAAAGCCCACTTGTTCTATTTGGGTTAACCGCTAGAAGACTGTGACCTTGAGTGTAGATAAATTAGTACGAATGTGGCCCTGCCACATCATTAGTTCAGAACAGATGGCCACCCTACTGAGCCAAGTGTTTACATGTTATTCGAAATACTAATTGCATTCAGTTGAATGTAATCTCATTAAATCATTAATACAGAGCATGTAATAATGAGGACTGAGTTGTTGCTCATCCTTAACGAAAAAGTGACCTGTCTCTGAACTTTCAGACTATAATTCAGTCTTAGTCTTGAGATTGTTTTGTGGGGGAGGGAGTGTCTGGTCACCCCAGTGTGGGTGAGGGGTGTTGTTCTACTCACAGGGACTCTGAGCAGCCCTCCGAGTTCCTCGCAGTCAGAAGACACCCCGAAACAGAAACAGGGGCTACAGCCAGCAGGACTGTCACCTGATAGCCCGAAGGTGCCCTGCTTGCACTCGTCGCAGCCTGCACCTCCCACATTGTCCTGGAAACACAGCCACGCTTGACGGTCAAGGACACGAGTCACATGACTCAGAGACAGAACCACAGTAATATGGAGGCGACTACTGACCGACACAAACACAAACATGGATGCTGCCTCATAACACAAAAGGGACAAAAACCCCCAGCATGGATATAGTCCCCCTGGGATGGACACGGTCACCCCCCCCCCCCATTATAACAATTCTGAAGAGGTCAGAACCTTGCAGACACATTTTCCCTGCTCTTCACAGCTGCAGACTCCCAGCTCTAGGTCACAGTACTTCTCATGGGTGCCGTTGATGTTGCAGTTGCATGCAGTGCATTCTGGGAAGGCCTTGAAGCCCATGGCACAGCGGTCACACCGATCGCCGGAAAACTGTGCCTTGCAGGGGCAGTGACCGCTGGCGAGGTCACATTGGGAGCCAGAGGAGCCATCCAAGTGACAGGAGCATGGCTGGGGATACAAGTGACAGGGCATCTTGGGAATATGCAGCGAATCTCAAAACAATGTGTTAGATGTATTCTGTGAACACTTAAAACTGATAAACTAAGGTAGATTCATCAGTGTGAAATGCCTTCTGTTAAAATCAGATGAATCCCCATCTCTCCTGATTTTAGGCATTACAAATATAGCATCTCATTTAGACCAGGTGACCAACAGACAACCTTGGGTAGTTGAACACGTTGCACCAGGGGGAACTCACCTTGCAGCCTGTCACCGAGTTGTGCCCCCAGTGGTCCTTCTCACAATGCTCACACTTCTCCCCCATAGTGTGGGGGGGACAGATGCACTCACCCGTCTCCTGGTGACAGTTTCCATGGGTGTATGCGCAGTTACATTCTGTCCGGGAAGAGCGACACACACACACACACCGGGGTGAGTGAATCCACTCGGGGTGCTGGGGTCAAAGGTCAACTCCCTTCCACGGAGCGCCAGGGTGATGACGCCTTACCTGTGCAGCTGCCATTGCGAAACCCGTAATATCCGTGCTGGCAGTGGTCACATTTGTCCCCGGCCACTCCTGGGACACACTGGCACCGGCCTCCCTCGTCGCATTCCCTAGAGAGCGCCCCTGCCTCACTGCAGTTGCACTGCACACAGCCCAGCTCATGGCGGAGGCCATAGTACCCCGGCTGTAAGACACACCGAGCAGTCATAGGCCAGTCACTCCACGGCGGCACACTCCGGTCCCTTACCGAAGAGTGTCGCCATGGTGACATAAACTCGCCAGTGTTTCAAGACCAGTGGTCACTGTCCCCATGCGATTCTCGGGCTCCATGTCATTATCACCTTTGCAGAAAGAAGACTCAGCTCTGAACACCGCTGTTAAAGTTCCCTCCTGTCACAATAATCTGTAGTCTGAAGCTGAGGATTATGGGAAGTGCGAGCCCGTTCGGGCTGTAAGAAGGCAGGAGTTTGATCACATAAATCATCGAGCCACCTGCCGCGGGGAGGCGATAGGCAAGGTGGCAATTCTGGGAAGGCAGTAACCTAAAGCCTCAGCTAAGGCAGACAGAGGGCTGACGCAGACACCCTCCGGGGTGAAGAAACAGCATTAACCCCCCCAGCCACCCCCATCATTAGCAATAGGGAGCAAAACCAGTTGGGGATGGGGGGGGCAGCAGTGATGCCTTTCTGTCAGGCGATAGCACTAAAGCTGCCAGTGGCTTGTGGGCCGGGCCAGAACATCTGGATGGGGGTCTGAGGCATATCTGCTTCGTGGCCAAACCCGGGACAAGCAGCCTCGACTGCAGCCTCATCGCTCACACGTACCCCCTCCATCTACGCACGGAGAGACAGCTGGAGGGGGAGTGGGGGTGGGTTATGAATTATGAAGACATCCGCTGGCAGTTACCGCCAGCCAGAGTCACCCGGGGGGGGAGACGAGTAAAGATGCCGAGGCAGGGACAGCATCCCGCTGCCCGGGGGCTAGTGTCAGGGACTGGGGGGCGTATCAGAGGGAGACATGCGGCTCATTAAAGGGACGACACGAGGGCAAGGCCTGCACCTACCTCACACTGCTCACAGCTCACTCCCCGTGTGTTGGGCTTGCAGTCACACTGTCCCGTCCTCACATCACAGATGCTGGAACGGGACCCGTTTCTATGGCAGCGGCAGACTGGGGCGTGCGTGTGCACACACATAGACAAGGGGAACACAGATAACACACAACAGGATTAACCAATTTGGCTTCGTATCACATATCGACTCTGGTACTCCTGTCCAGACTGCAGTTCCGATACTCATTAAAGAATCCATGCTTATAGACAGAAGCTTCCAGACCACAGTAATTCCAGACCACAGTAGTAGTACCTTACCAAGGATTGTCACATTGCCGTTACACAGTGGTGTCCGCGCTGTCTTCATTCATTTATCTAACACAGCTCAGAATGTTCTAGGGTGTTCAGTATGCCAGCACAACATGAAAGGGTGCTGCTCTCTCATTTTACACTAGATGTCAGTAAAACATTACATCGGAAACAGCTAAACTGAAATAGAAATGAGTCAGTTGAATAAAACGGCTATTTATTGAATTAATACGCTGATCACTTAAGATGTGTTAAAAAGAACTGAGAATTTTTATCAGAGTTATCTAAAAGATGTCAGTTTATTTTACTGTATTACTAGAGCTACATATTGACATGAAGCCGCACTGCCAAGCTGTTGGAATGTTCCGGGTCTTTGTAGGATTGTCAACATGACCGTGTAGATCTGACATTCCTAAAGCCATTTACACAAACTAAAAAGGGGCCTCCCAGCAACTGAATGGGGAGCTTGGGAGGGGGCACTGGAATTTGGATATAAAGAGGATTATTCAGGCCCACAAGGTCAGTGTGAGCTGTCCCCAAAAAAATCCCCAGTTACAAATCAACCTCCTTATCCTCCGCGCCCCGGCAGGGAATCTGTCACCCAGTAGATAATCAGTGACCCTAACTCAAACTTCCAGTTTACTTTTCTTACCATTAGATGATTAATATAATAACTATTCGCTTAATATTTATGTGATTAATGGGAAGTTTCAGACTTGAATGACTGCAGTTTCATTAATCATCTTACTTGGTATGCATGTAATCAGGGACTTGCGCATGATTTCAGTGATTCTGCCACATTGTACGTAAAGGATTTTGCATTTCTGCTGGTCTTTCTCTCTGCTGTTATCCCTCACACTTCAACTACGGATATTGTACACACTCCAAGTGAAAAACGGTGTCGTAATGCACTGACTGGGAGATTGTGGGTTAGGGCACATTGCCCAGACTTACTCTGACAGTCCTTGGCCCCGATGGCATCGCCGTAGTAACCCTCCTGACAGTGCTCGCAGTGCCGGCCCGTGGTGTGGCCCGTGCAGTTTAGGCACTCCCCGCTCACGGGGTCACAGTGGCCTGGCTGAAGCGGGTCAACGTTGCCGTTGCAGTCACAAAGCCGACACCCCTGGCCTGGCACCGAAGGGTTTCCATAGTAACCGTTGGCACACCTGGGACACACAGGCCATAAATATTTCCCACGTCCTGCATCTCAGATTTCTTATATTTCGGTCCCACGGCTCAACGACAGGCGATAAAACCTTCCTGCAGAGAATGATCTGGCCTGAATTATTGGATTTAAAGACGAAAAGATTGAAACTACTTGCGAATATAGTTCTGGGCTCTTATCTTATGTTACGATGACAGCATGGCTACAGAGATATGCCACCTCTGCACGTCTCGATCGATGAAAGGAGCCTTTCCCTGCGCACTTGTTCCGGCGTGCGTGCGAGAGTGTGTCTGTGACTGCTGGCGTGTGCGTGTGGTCCGTGTGCCTGCATACCTGTCACAGCGGGTTCCCGTGTAGCCCTGCTGGCACTGGTCACAGATCACCTCACCAGGCTGCCCCAGGTGGCACGTGGGGCTGAAACTGGAAGCGTAATGCTCAGCATTAACTGGCTGTGGGGAGAGTGTAATGACGAAATACAGAAGCATAACCACACACACAGGCTGTACGCTTTCACTTCACCTTTACAATACTGAGTTTGAACCTTTTTGAATATAGTGTATATTTTGCTGCATTTAATGGCCCAGTGGATTTACCATGTCCATCCATTTGCAGGCCATCAGAAAGCACACACTCAAACACTGTGGGCATACCAGTTCACACACAGATCCAGGGCAGGAATCGAACCCAAATCCAGCACTTGGTTCCAGTGCAATTTGGCAGCCAGTGCAAACCCATACCTCTACAGAAATACTAACACCTACACAGACTCTAGTCTGCTCCTCATGTAACCGATATTAGCCTCCACAATGGAAAAGGTTAACAGTGGCTGGCTAACATGCCAGCTCCTGAGAGCCTGGGGGAGAGACCTACTTGTTCGACACCACGGTAAGCGGGCAGGCACATCTCTGGCAGTCGTCCGGAGTGCCCTGGGATGGGTCTCCATAGAAACCAGGCAGGCACTGTTCACAGTGAGGCCCAGTGGTGTTGTGATCACAGCCCTGGGGAAGATTTACAGTCAGGGCGTATCTCTGACATCCTCTCACATAGACCTCTGGCTTCCATCTGCACCATAGCGACATGTTTAAGGAGAGTCGACCGAAGGGGATGGGAAGGAGCCACACAGGCGCCACGGGAGCAGATATTTCATGATCTGCCTGATTCAGATCAACATCGTCTTATCATCAACAAAAGGAGTTACAGGCTAGTTTTAACTGAATGATTTACACATGGTGCGGCAGCCCCAGCTAGATCATGAGGCAGAGGTGGGATGAGCAGATCTAGGAGAAGAGTACCCTCCCTTGGTCTTTAAATATGGTGTTTAGCTGCTTGTTTATGGGTGGGATCGTACCAAACAGATGCCGTTGGAGTCGCACTGGGAAGAGTGATCATTGCATTCACACTGCAGGCAATTGCCGCCAAACAGGATCCCCCCCACACGATAAAATCCAATGGTGCAGTCCTGAATGAGAAAAAAGCTGAATTTAAAAAAAGGCAAACTTCTCTGACATGAATCTTAAGATTTTCTAAATGTTGCTAACAATAACTGCCAGAGCACTATTTGTTTACTCAAATATGAGTCATCTTGTAGGTTCATTTATCAATACATATCTCATAATTATTAGTACAGTGTCTTTCAGTTCAAACATACAACTAGAGTGACAGCATGGATTGGATTAAAGGGTGACACTGGACTGGCCAAGACAGATGCCAGTCAAAGTCGGGGGAAAAGAAAGCTGGGTCTTACCTCACAGGACGTCCCGGTGTAGCCCCACGGACACTCACACTGTTCTACGTCACCAGCGGCGTGAGGCCTAGTGCTGATTGGATCAGCTATGTCGAGGGACACAGTGGCGAGTCTGGATGGGAGGGGAAACACAAACTTAAAAAAAAAAATAATAATAATAAAAGGCCAGCTGAAATTGAACAGGCTGAGTGTAGACAGATTGGTCTCCCAGCTCTGTGGGTCCTTTTCAATTAAATGAAACCAATGGAACAGAAAGGATGGGAGCAACACTGTGAAGAAGCCAAAGCGAGGCAGGCGCCTAGGCTATGAAATCAAACCCGCAGAGTAGCTGCGAGGTTTAATGACTCCTGTACACCAGCTATAAAAGACCCTCACCAAAGATATGAAATGAGCAGGAGACACAGGCCATGAAATGAGTCTTCTGAAAGAACCGTGAAACAAGCCCACAGAGGCTCATAAAAGAAACAGCCGTAAACCAGTCACTGAAATGGGCTCCTTTTGGGTCTCACCTCACGGTCCCCTCCGTACTGCCGTTGAAGCGTCCCCGCACCCGCAGCCCAGAAACATCCTCCAGGACCGTCATCAGCTCGTCCCTCTCGGCAGCTCTGCCCCCCTGGAGGCCCACAAAGTGCTGTGGCAGCACCTCCATGGTGATGCTCCGCTCCATGGTGGGCATCAGCAGCACCTCCTGAGTGGCTGCCTGCCGGAGAGTCCTCCCATTCCCCTGGGGGCGCCGGCGAGCTGACAGTCAGCTAGACTCAACCACTGACAAGCGTTTGTGCTCAAGGAGAATAAACCAAGGTTTTGGAGTCGTTTACAATATTTAGTTCTTGTGGCCTGGATAGTTATTGGGAATGGGACTGTCTATGATCTACTCAGATGGGACACTGGAAAGGAACTTTCTACTACCTAAAAATATGAAATTGCCCAATATATTTAAAATTTGTTAGTGGTCAGAATTTCAGAGGTATAAATGAATATGGCGTACCTCGATGATGACATCAAATTGAGCCAGGAGAGGTTTCTGTATACCACTCACGGGAACGTCGTAGGAAACCGTGTAGTTCAGCAAGCCACCATAAGCAGTCAGCTTGGAGTGGGAAGGAGAGGTGGACCCACGGTGGTCACAAGGACAGGAAGTGGTCACAGGGACAGGAAGTGAAAAAAAATGTTTTATAAAGGAAAACTTGCTAATTATCTTGGTTTTAATGTCAGCTGTACACATCTGTAGGATTCAGATTTACATAAACTTAGAAAGTCTGTGTTACATAGGATGTAGAAAACTAGAAAAATTTTAGGAATGCTTATTACTCACATCCCTAAAAAACAGAAAAAGCTACATCATCTAGACCAGGGGTGGGCAATCTTATCCGCAAACGGCCGGTGTGTGTGCAGGTTTTTTTACTGCAATTCCCTAATTAAATTACTAATTAGAGGACTGATTGGCTGAAGAGTCCTCACACCTGGATTTGAACAGCTGACCTAAAGGTTAAACCTGCGTACACACTGGCCCGTGGCAGATACGATTGCCCACCCCTGATCTAGATAGTCACGTTCTTCAAAAAAGAAAAAATAATAACCATAATACCCCTCCCTCAATATGCAAAGCAAATGTCATGTATAATTGCAAGTTCAAATTGGATTAATTATCTGGGGGATCAACGTGCATACACATTAAGCACGTTTACGACAAGCGGATCATAATTATTTCCTGGCTCCCCGACATACACAGTTCCGTTGCACGTCAAGGCCGTGACCCATTAACCCAACACAGTCATAGAAATTTAAATTTTACGCGCCCCACTCAGAGTGGGGTACCTGTACCTGTGTATTTGTGTGTCTGCCAGTGTGTGCCCAAGCTGTACCCCAAGCAGTAGGTTTTTACCTTGTTTCCCCAGAATGCACTGGGAGCAATCCAGGTGGAGAGGAAGTGGAGGGCTTCACCTTCTGTGACGTTGATGTGATTGTTCTCCTCGGGGACCGCAGCCAGAAGATGCCATCCCTCCATGATCACCAGCTGCAGGGACATGGTACGTGTATTTTTCTTCCAAGGATGAGGCCCCTGGGTTACGTGATCGCCAAGCAGGCCCCAGTACCTGTGTGGTGGCCCACGGGATGCTCTCGCACACGTCCGACACGCCGAAGCAGAAACACTCGGTGCAGCCCTCAGGATTGCTGCCGCGCAGGTTGTAGTAACCCCACTTGCAGGCGTGGCAGTCGATGCCCATGACGTTTTCCTAAGGAAGTCATCGCAAAGCCCCATTACAGCCTCCCGGGGTCACATGAGGAGCCGCGTCTTCCCTCCCGCCTCCCTACAGCACCCATTACCTTGCAGACACACTCTTCACACGGGTCGATGTTGACGCTGCCGTCCAAGTTGCAGGTGCAGCGGCTGCATGCCGGGAAGTCCCTGTACCCGAAGGCGCAGCGGTCGCAGCGATCGCCTGCGAATCCTTCTCTGCACAAGCACTGTCCAGGCCACAGGCCTGCAGAATGAAAGACGAGTGGGTCTGCACCTTCAAGGACGGAGGCCCGGGCAACACGGCTACATCCCCTACGTCTCATATAGTGAAAGCATACAAGACAAATCCCTGACCTTGTCCAGCCTTGGCTTGGTTGTCGTCCTTGACACAGCTGAGACTCTGTGACCCGCTGGGATCACAGTGACACTCCACACAGGGGTAGTCATCATAGGGGGAAACCTGCACAGGATAAACAAAGTGATTTACGCCTGAGACACCCTAATCCATCTATTCCAAATGGCCTCCATGACCACTTATCTGGTAGATGGTTGGGATGACCCTGAGCCATGCATTCATACCAGCATATTTCTATAAAATTCCATTTAAATGCATAGAGAGGTGTTTCCAAATCCGGTCCTTGGGGACCCACAGACAGTCCATGTTTTTGCTCCCTCCCAGCTCCCTACATTGCAGGAGCAAAAACATGGACCGGCCATGGGACCCCGAGGACCGGATTGGGAAAAACTGGCATACAGAGTTCATTCTATATCTCGCAAACTCTGAAACCCAGCAGCTTCGATGACAGTGAATGGTGCGTTATATTCATTTTTTGTTTTTATCATTCCACCGCTCCGTGTGTAGTTCGAAAGTGCGACACAGAAGCCTTAGGCTAAACCCACGGAACAGAGTCAAGCGCCTACCAGGTGGGGTCTGAAGAAGCCATCGGCACAGGTCTCGCAGTTCACTCCTGCCGTATTTTGCCGGCAACCGAGACAGACCCCGCCCCCAGAATAGTGACTGTGGGTGTTCAGGCTCATCCTGCGGTCAGCCACCGTCTGGTTGTAGTAGCAGTCATCCGCCTTGTTGTGACAGTTACACTCTGTGGAGCATCAGGGTCACAGGGTCAGCACAAAGTGACGTCGACCACAGGGCAGGAACGGAAACGTTGTCAACACCCAGGAGACACATCTAGACCAACAAAGGTTCTTAAAACTTAATTTCTTAATGTACCTCAGCAGTAGCATCAACCTTTACAGATACAGATAAAATGGGTTTTAGAAGTCCTGTGCTAAACCTAGTTGATTTATTAAAGGGCCAGTTTATCTAAATTATACTTTCCAACAGCTTTGTCATTCGTATTTATCTCTCATTTTTTCATTTGCTCAGGCGAACCCCCTTTGTGCAGGTAAAGGAACATTAGAGGTTGATTGCACTGCATGCTGAAGATAAAGAGGCTCCAGCGTGTTCGGGATCGCCGTGACTTACTCTCGCAAGTGTTTCCATCGGAGAGAGTTCCAGGTTGCCACGGTTCCTGGTGGTAGCCAGGGCAACACTCATTACAGCTCTCGCCACACGTATTGTGCTCGCATACGCACTGCAGCTTCTGCGGGGATGAAAAGGGGAACAGCGGATGTTTTGTTCAGACCCAGGGGGATATGTCATGGCCCATCTCAAAGCACTGTCAGCCCCCCCCGCCGCCGTCCGTGGATCCATTAGGGGCCAGCGAATTAGCGCTCCCCCACTCTCGTGCTCACAGACCTGCATGCACGCACACGTCCGTGGCTAGACGTGACGGACGAAGACACAGGCACGCACTGGGATGCGCGCACAGCCAAAGCTGTTTACTGCATGGGTTGGGAACACGTGGCGGGCACGGGGGGGGGCAGTACGCCGCGGTGAACGCCAGGCCACTGAGCCATGCTCGTGCGCCGTGGAAGAACCGGAGGAGCTGCGGTTCGTTAATACCGCTAATTGACACAGATTAAATCGAAACAGGATCTGTAAACCAGTGGTCACAGGCTGGAGTATCTGCGACTGTCCAAGTCAACAGTTGAAGGCAAATTTTTTGTCATTATTCTCCTGTCCTGCTTTAACGTGGCAAAGGGCTATCATTAGGGGCATCCTGACACTGGTATTAAATATTTTACATGTATTTAGAAGACACTTTTATCCAAAGCGACATACACAACCAGTCAAAAGGTTTTGCACACCACAGGTTTTTACCACTTTCCCATTTATTTCATAAACTGCTGATTTCTTGTTAAGAATTGAAAAATAGAGTGAACAACTATAAATAAAACATACATGTCAGATATAAGTCAAATAAAACAAGTTTCTTTTATAACGGAAAGCGTACAGTATATAACACTGCATGTCTGACATCCTATTAACTGGTTGTGTGGTGATGGCGCAGTAAAATTATAGGCTGTCCTTTAACTTCAAATGCACTAGATAACTTTCATCCCATGAAACAGAGCAGCATTTAATGTCACTTGTGGAAAGAATGTCTTGAATTGTCCCTGATATTATAACTGCTAGAGGAGGTTACTTTGATGAATCAAAGATATGACATTTTCTTGCAAATAAAGGTTCTCAAACGGTGAACACACTGTAAATTTATTGGTTAGCAAAGAATATTGAGCGTACTTTTAGTAAAAGCGAGTAACACGCAAATGTAGAAAGTGGTTTGACTGGTAGTGTACATCTTTCTGAAAGCGAGGTCAAACAGCCCCCAGGGCAACTGGGCTCAAGGGCCCAACAGTGACACTGGGTGGGATTTGAACCTGCAAAGTTCCGATCAGAGGTAAAATGTCCTAACCCACTGAGCCACACATACAAAGAGTCAAACCAGGCAGTACCTGAAGGTTTTAGCAAAGAGTGATTTCCAAGGTGACAGTACCTTAGTGACGGGGTCCCACGGGCAGCTCTGGGCATGTCCATAGCAGATGCACATCCCCCCCACCGAGATATCTTTGATGGAGTAGTAATACTGTGGACACGGATACGTGTGGTTAGGTGCAGAACCCCCACCATGCACTTCTCACTTCTCAGACCAAAAGGTCCATCGGTGAAGAGCAGAACTTTCACTCAAAGACCGAAAAATGACACACAAATTATTCACCTTCAGCTCAGAAACAAAATTATTAGCAGCAGTCATAGAATTCAAGGCAGACAGGAAACCTCTGGGTCAAAATAACTAGAAATATTTGTCAAAGTATTTATACTGGACCAACATTTTCTCCCTAACCAGTTTTGTTGTCTTATCATGTCCAGTAACCTTATTTGGTCTTCAGCAGAGTATTATTGTATTGCACGTAAGGTCAGACACTATTTCAGTGTGCTGCTTATGGTTTAGAGCGCTTTGTTTAATAATTTAGTAATGTTATTCATATAATCACAATAGTTATTAAACGAGTCTTAAGCCTTCTTCCTGTAACCTTCTTTTTCTTTGAATATTATTGCAAACAAAAATGTTTCTGCATCCAATGGCAAGTGATATATGCAGGAGTTTGTTCCTGTTGTCCCCAGAAGCACCTCATTGTGGGAGGGGCCTGAACTGCAACACGTACCCGCCGTGTGACAATCGGATCCACCTCCTTGGGGTCGCGGTAGCTGAGGGTCATGAGGTCGGCATTGAGTGTGCGGATTCTTTGTAGGCGCAGGCGGATGTAGCGGGCAGAGGTGAACTCCAGGAGTTCAGGGGTCAGGTCGTCGGCACTGGGTCGCCCATTCACCAGGGAGGTGTGTATCTGAAGGGGTGAAAAGAGAGCTGCTTAGAGGATGCCGTCCAAAAGCCGGCTGAGCCAGGTTCTGCCCAGTCATTGGCCCACAAAGATCTCACAATATCCACATCTATTATGTTCATTCCAAATCTGAATTGTATCCAATAAAGTGGCTATGTGTTGGATCACCACCCATCTGGAACTGACAGGCTAAACACAGTTTAAAAGGAGCATAACCCTGCTATTTACAGTAATTATGTTAATATGACAGCAGGGGGCGCTATTTGCAGTTCAATAACAGCATGATGACAGCATGCAGGGACGGGTTGTACCTCGCCGTGCTCCAGTGGGACCAGGCGTGAGTAGTAGGAGGTGCAGATGACCTCGTCATCCCTCTTGTAGGTGGGGGGTCCGATGCGGGGGGTGACGTTATAGCGGGTCAGGCACTCAGTATCGCTGATGGCATAGTACTGCCAGGGATAGTACTGCATGCCGTCCAGAGAGCGCTCCAGGATCCAGTTCCCGGGCCGTGGTGAGTTGGCTGCCTTGATGATGACATAGGCCACCTGGAAGACCTGGACACATGGGTGTGGACACAGTCACTCAAGGATGCCTTCTCTGGTGGGGGGGAGGGGGTGACCTTGGTCTGGGGATCACTGGTCTCTCACACTTTCATATTTAATCTGCGGCCGTGCTGATGCAAGCAGGGCTGGACTGGCCATCTGGCATACTGGGCGATTTCACAGTGGGCCAGCTGCTATGTGGGCTGTTACCGTGGAAGACCGCAAAGTCTGGGGTCGATTTTTAATCTCAGTGCATGGATGCAAGTAAGATGGCGGAAACGGAGACGGGAGAAAAGTCCGGAAACTGGCGGTGATACAAGCCAGCATGGTGGCCACATTCAGCCACTGCATGTCCCAATTGCACCCCCCCAGATTCACCCCAGGTTTCTGACACACTTCTTATTTTAAAATTCCATACCTTTCCAGAGTTACATTTCCAGACTCTGCAAGTATTTTGACATTTCATGACGCAAGTACATTTTAAAATCTATATGTTACATGCATGATGAGTTGGCATGCAGCTGAGTTGCATGTATGTAGTGAGTTGCATGCATGTTACATACATGTAAATTCTAGCAACTGCAACTATTAAAAATCTAACCCCTGCACTGATCGAAAAATGCATCCTAGATGGCATCCCTTCTGCCGTCTCCCCCACGTTCAAAACGTCAAACAAGTTTACACATACAACCCTGTCATCTCGTTCTCCTGATGCCAATTAACCTAATTAATCATGAGATATTCAACCAGTTTGTTTTGCTTTAGCATTACACAACATTTTTAGTTTTTCGTTGCCCCTTTCCCAACTGTTTTGAAATGTGTAGTTGAAATCAAATTCAAGTTGGGCATACATTTGTCATAAAACAATGAAATTACTAAGTTTGATATGTTGTCTTTGTTCTATTTTCAATTAAATAAGGGTTAATATGATTTGTAAATCATTGCATTCTGTTTTATTTACATTTTACACAATGTCCCAACTTTTTTGGAAATGGGGTTGTAATTTGCATTTTGATTTCCGTTCACATTTGTTATCCTTAGCTAACCAATTATAACATTTAGGATTGCCAATCAAGTGAAGATATGCATTTCCACATTGTGAACGTTGTAAATCGTAAGGTAGCCTACATCAATATTTCCTGCTGGAGATTAATCAAGTGTGGACCCCCACAGACACACCTGGGTTTGGGGCACCGCTCTATGCACATTCTGGTGCTGAAAACCTGCTTACATCAGTGATTTAATCAAAAACATGAATAAGTAAATTCAGATGTTTTTTTAGAATACAGACGCTCCTCTGCTTACGAACTTTCAACTTACATACTTTCAGACATACGAACGAAGAGGACTGTAAGTCCAAATTGTGTTTGTTGGGCTCCTGTTTCCTGTGCGCAACATCAATGTTTTTTTCTGCACGCCAATTCAGCCTAGTACGACTTCTGGCCGCTACTCCCGCCATGCAGCAGCGTAGCGTGCGAACTCCCAGCATCCTAGTTCTTTGTACTTGCGTATACCCTTAAAATGATATTGAATAACGACTTACGAACATTTCAAGTTACAAAGGGCTGTTCGGAACGTAACTAGTTCGTAAGTAGAGGAGCGTCTGTACATAATAGGCCAGTTTGTGACAATAGCATGGAAACACCAAAATTTTTTCCAAGTTTCATTCCTTTTTCCATACTTATCCAGACTTGGAAAACACCAAAAGCAAATTCCGTACTTTCCCATACTGCATAGGAATCCTATACCTCGGAGGCAGGAAGTGGCCCTGAACTGTTCAGTGATACACCAGGGGCTCCTTGGTGTAGATGCTCACAGACACCGGAGAGCCCCCCATGCAAGCCAGGAGCCAAATTCCCACCCCCACAAGTCCCAATCCACTTAAGCCCACTGCACCCTAATCTGAGGGGGCTGCATTGTTCAACTCTGCACTCTGTCAGCAGTATGTGATGTGGACATTTGGTCTATGACCAGGGCACCACAGAGTTCTGCTTCCCCCCTCCTTCCCGAGTGCTGGGGGCGACTGTGCTGACTAAGCCTCGGGTTCCGTTTCAACGAGCATTCCAGACAAGCCCAGCCTCTGTAGGCCTGCTCTGGCTGGCTGTGATGAGAGGAATGACAATCACTTCCAAGCCTTTGTGGGGAGGCTCGAATTTCTCACTGCATGAAATGCATCAAACTCAGCAGTGAAATGAATGAATGTATCCTAGTGCCAGAAAAATCACTTTATCGAAAAAGCCATAAATTCACATCTTGAAAACCTAGGCAGAATCACCCACTAACTCTACATGGAGGATTTTCACTGATCGCTTCCATATGGAAACAGAACCTTCAAAGAAACCGGCGTCAGCAGTCAAAACGCCTGTCTACAAAGTTCAAATCAGTATTCACTGATTCATAAAACGTTTCTTTCAGTATTTTGTCAAAATTTACATTATTTAGCTTTTTGTTTGTTGGTTACTAAGCAATGCATGCTGGGTAAATATTTACTCCATAAACTTGCCTTGTTCTGTGTTTAATCTTTAATCTTTCCATAAGTCTACGCTGCGCGGCCTTAAACGTACATTTACTTTGTGTCGGAAGCTAAAATTAAAATAAAAAACCACTGAATCGTCCTTTCAGGTATATTATAAACACTACAATTACAGGCCCTTGTTTTGTACTTTCCCAAAAACTACTTCTGACAAAATAATTATTTTGATCTAATTATATATTATTTCTTTCTTGTGATGTAACTGGAATAATGCCACAAAAAAGGAGGAGCCTTGTTGGCTCTTGAAATGCATATGCATTTGTAATCATAAATCATTTCCAGGAATCGTGAAAATAGCTGCAATTCGGATTATCGATACTGTTCTGCATTAAGCTGCGTCTGGGTTTATCGCACTCACTGCTAGGGTCAGGCTCACACCGAAGGTGACAAACGTCACCTCAGGCTAGCGGATCCTTCCTCAGTGGGGTCATGGTGTCCGGCAACTGCAGAAGCGATTCCGTAGCATGTGGGCCGAACAAAACGCCGCACGGCAGCACGTTGGAAAAGACCTGCCACACAGCGGCGCAGTGAACGCCAGCTCATCGAGAAAGGCAGTGGGACAAAGTGATGGATCTGTTGTTAACCACCGTGGGTAATTCAGCCATGCCGGATGGAACAGTAAAACCCTTTCAGGCTTGTAAGTGGTGATTAGAGGGTGGGATTGGGCTTTGAACCAGGCCCTGGGGTTAATGAGGGAGTTATAGCAACACAGCACCATGAACTGGGCTGTAATACCAACCACAGGGACATGGAAGAACCTTTATTCTTTCATTAAGTCAGTTAAAATGATGTTTCATCTATTTTACATTGTCTGCAGCTGGCCAAACGTGTACGCTGATGAATTATCAGTATTGGCTTCGCTGTAAACTTGAAATAAAAGGAGCTCTAAACTAGGAAATCCCAGAAACATTAGGAAGCAAAAAAGCTTGGAGCAGCCAAATAAAGGATGCCCTGCATTTTGTGTATGTTGGGATTACCCGCATGTTTGAGGGTGGAGTTGGGAAAACCCTCAGGTTTGAGTGTGGAGTTGGGATTGCCCTCACGTTTGAGTAAGGAATTGGGAACGCCCTGAAGTTTGAGTATGGAGTTGGGATATCTTCAGGTTTGAGTATGGAGTTGGGATCACCCTGAAGTTTGAGTATGGAGTTGGGATATCCTCAGGCTTGAGTATGGAGTTGGGATCGCCCTGAAGTTTGAATATGGAGTTGGAACATCCTCAGGTTTGAGTATGGAGTTGGGATCACCCTGAAGATTGAGTATGGAGTTGGGATATCCTCAGGTTTGAGTATGGAGTTGGGATTGCCCTGAAGTTTGAGTATGGAGTTGGAACATCCTCAGGTTTGAGTAAGGAGTTGGGATCGCCCTGTAGTTTGAGTATGAAATTGGGATATCCTCAGGTTTGATTGAATACAGAGCAGCTCATCCTGTGGGGACCTTCCCTGTCTGGGCACAGTGTGCCCGCCTGTCGGGGGAGGGAGAGACCACTCCCTGCTGTGGCACATTCCACATGTGTGATGTGGAGCCCCCACCGAACTCAGTGATATCAGCCTGTTCACAAGGCACCCACAGGAGAGAAACGGGGGGGTAAGAGGCGAACAGCGATGGGTGGAGGTATCGGGAAATGGTCACGCACACAGGGCTCTTCTGGCACTCTGCCTGTCCATTATCTGAAGTGTGGGGGGGGGGGCAAACAGGACGCCATTTGGAGCACTCATCCTGCCTGCCCACCCAGACAGATCAAATGCACAGCGCCTGGAGCTAACAGCGCTTCTGGGCCGCCCAGTGGAGCCCTCCCCGTGGGCCAGCTGTGTTGTCTTACACCTCCTGGTTTCACAGCCATCTTAGGCCTCCCTATGGGCTCCATAACAGGGTCCAGCTCCCTGTCCCCCAGTAGATGGCATGCACACCACAGTCGTGGATTTTAAAGATCAGGCAAATGCTGGCTCAGTACAAAATAATGGAATTTTTCCAGTTGGGTGAGGGGGCTTTTGGGCCTGGTACCCCCCCCTCCCCCACCACCATACAGCCTAACAATGCGGTAGCTCATTACTGCTTCCCCTACAAACACCCACCACTCAGCTACACGCCAGCTCATCAGTCAGAATTTCTTTGGTACGGAGAGCCAGAGCTGAGAATTACTGAAACGGAAGAAGATACTATCATTTCAATTTCAATGGACAAGTGGAGATGAGTGACTTCTATCTGATTCTTTCCAGGAGCACCAGTTATATTCAGGATCTTATATGGCCATTAGCCAACTCAAAGTGAATGATCAATTCAGTCCAAACAAAGTAAGGAAGCCATCTAGAGCAGGGGAGATCTCCACAGATACACACGTTTCAATGGCCGAACCAGCAACACTTTCCTAATGAGTTTGGCGGGAATTTCTACTCTTTCATTTCCGGTGAAGTTGCGTTCCCCCATCAACGTTGAAACACCACCGACAGTCACCCTTGAGGGTTCATGGTGTGTGAAGCCGGACTGCAGCAAACAGGTCACACGGTTCCCCGCTTCCCAGGACGGGGCAGGATTAAGCACCAGAATTCAGCCGCGATGAAGCCGGCGGCTGTAAACACCTACAACAGACGGGCCGATTTCACCTCACCGCACCAATACACCAAGATTCACCACCAGCGCTGTTGTGCCTGTGTCTGCACTTATCCCGTCCCACCGGTTGACCCCCCTCCCCCCACCAGTGGCTGCCCCTCCACCGTAACACCCAACAGCCTCTAATTGCTCCAGCCTCAGCCCCGCTACCTTTTGCCGCTCCAAGGAGCAGCCCCAGTTCACATGAAGGTACAAATTAGCGAGCATGCAGCTCAGTACAGACACGTCTCCACACTGGCCAATGTTGGGCCGCCCCGGATGTGTTTTAATGACCCTTACTGGCATGTATGGGGGGGCACCAACGACAGTGAGAGCCAGCCCCCTGCATACAATAGCATTGTTAAGCAACGTTCACATCTGCAGGTAAATGCAAAAGTGAGCTTGTTGGCACATCTCTAATGCACCATAATTTACCAACCGGGAGCTCTGAGATGCAATTAACAACATAATTATATATTAATCGGGAAGTATATGATAAATGTCTTTAAACGGTGGGGCGGCGCAGGGCTCAGTGGGAAGCACTGCAGCCCGACTCCTCCAGGGCTGGAAGATGGATGGATGGATTTTTTAAAAATTAAAAGAACCAAAAAAAAAAAATGTAGTTGAGTCTTGAAATAATCACCCTGCAGACAAACCCTTTCTCATCTTCCGTAACTGTAATCCTATCAGACCAAAACATACTGCACGGCTACAGCAAGAGGCTCCAAAATGAAATCTTATCTGGAAATGAATCCTGGTACCAGGGGCAAATAAAAGAATCCACTCTTTAATAACTCTCCATTTAATCTACAACACCAAAGCGGCACGTTTATGCACGTATGTCGGGAGTGAGGGCGGATTTTGACCCACGGCGCATATCTAGGAAGATGTCTTCATCTTAACAGCTGGACATCACCGAGACTCCTTGAGCAGTGAGAGATCCCCCCTCTGAATGGGGTATCCAAACGGCCAAACACCCTGCTCTCTCTCTCTCTGGCCCCTCTCCCACCCCAAGGTCTGTATACTGGTTTACAGTAACCAGTTCAACAATCACGTGGGAATTACCGGTCAGGGAATCACAGGCCAATTCTGGCCCATGACTCGTTCAAATATTTGCTCCCCCCCCCTCCCCGGTAATGTTTATGTGCCTTACAGGTTTCTGCTGTTTAACCAGCTGGGAGGTTTACAGCCTTAACACAGTGGTGATGATAAAAGACAATCTTCGGAGGCTCGGCATGTACCTGCCTCAACACTAAACCTCCAAACAGCCTGGCGGTCACCGTGGCTGGTGCAGCCGGGTGGGACACGCCGCTCGCATTAAGCGACTTCAAAGGGACCAAGGTTGCCCAGAATAGTGGATAATGGGCAGAAATGGCGGCAGCATCATAACATCCATTAAAGCTCTGAACGTCTCGTTCTGATCCACAGAAGCTCCTGTATCTCTGAGTGGTAAGCAGAACGATCACACTGGAGACAGCAACCAGTTTAGTAAACTGGTCTTTCCAAATGTCTAACCAGCACTAGGTCCATCACTGATCAAATATGTTAATTCATTTTGAAAACTTAAATAATCTGAGTAAATGAAGCTGAAATAGTTGGAAGTGTCACCGTCAGAGAGCATCTAGATTAATAGTCGATGGTGTAAGAACTCTGAGGTGTTAAAAAAAAAACAGCACCAGCAGTAAAGTGCTTGAGATATTATTGGTCAGAATCATTTTGCAAAAATCAGCTTCAAACATGGGTAAAAAATGCAGGTGGTAAAAACTCGATGGGTGTGTGTTCGCCTTGTGAAACACTGATGACGATACTATAACAGAGGAGTTTCCATGTGTCCAGACTCCTGCCTCCCTATCAGAAAGCTGAGATTCATCAAGCTAACATAAATCACCAGTATTAGGGGTGGGTGTATCCGGGGGGGGCGGGGGTTGGTTTACTACCAGCTGCACCTAAGGATATGTAGGGGGCGGTGGTATTTTCCGCACTGAGGGGTCCGTCTGAGGCTTGCCCCCAGGCCATTGTCTGGTAACTCGTCAGACAAAGGAAAACCAGCTGCTACAGCAGAAAATGCACAGGAACAGATCTGATAAGAGAGTGAGGCTTCTGGAAGCCCAAAGGAGCTTAAGCCCTTCTCCAGTAGAAACACCCAGCTGTATTAAAGCTTAAAACAGCAAGCAGGTTCAGATAAAATCACCCAAAATAGTAAGGGTGTGTCAGCACGAGGCCACGGCCATCCTACCTGCCGCAGATCCAGCGTGATGGTGACCCAGTGGTACTGACGGCCATTCTTGATGCTTGGACTCTGCCACCAGCTGTTGGTGCCATCGATGGCGTGGGTGATGGGATGTTGCTCTGCTTTTGGGGGGGTGCCGGGCAGCCGTTAGCATGTAGCTCATTAGGACTGGGAAACTGAACATCTCATTTGTTTATACACCACAATGTTTAGTGTTTCTGCTTGAAAATACTCATTAGGTTGACGCCCAACCCATTGTTAGCGTGACTGCTAATAGAAGCAAACAGGGGCTGGCAGAAATGTTACTTTTTCAACCAGCACAGTCTTTTTCCAAATGGGGCCCGACCCATGAAAGAAACCATGAGAAAATCGATGACACACCTTTGGGGTTGGTGCTGTTGCTGTCGCAGATCCGGCACTGTGGGTTCCGGATGCGCCGGCCGGGAACGTGTTCCACCAGCTTGCAGTACATCTCAGGCCCGAGCTCGCCGCACGTGGCATTGGTGGAGATCTCGGCGTTGCTGGCCAGGTTGAGAATGGCTGGGAAAAGGCCTGGGGAGGAGAAGGATACCCTGAGTCTCCAGGCCATGCACAGGCTCCACAGCAGTGCAGTCAGACCACGAGGTCATGTCTTGCAGCTCACGGTGCGTTCCATTTGAACTCGGAAGTTGGAATTTCCAACTTCCTAATCGGGTGGCTGTGGTCTTCATCAACAGAAGTGAAAGCTGTAGCTTTATACTGTTTATTAACACTTAAGTCTTATCTGTGGTTCATTAAATCGGTCGTACACACAGTACTGTCCACCCGCTATCTGTAGATGTGTTGCTACGGGTGTCTGTATATGCCAAAACCGAGTAATGCTAACGATGGCTAACAATTAACTGGGATAGAATTGTTTTCGCTCAATGGCTTTCTGCTTGTTATGCTGGAACGCGCGTAGCTTGAGTGTGACGTCATTCCCAGCTCCAGGTCAATGGAGACACACCATTACTGTCAATATACTGAAGCACACATCTCACATCTATATTGGTATCAACACTATTGGTACAAGCAAGTAGGACAGGAACCCAGGAAACTCAGGAGATTTACGGTTAAGCCCTGACCTCCACACTTGAAACCACAACCCCTACTCCCATCATGTACAACAATGACAAAAATATATAGAAATAAGTGAGAAAAAAATCATGACAGGAGACAAAACCATCAAAACTGTACTCCATAATGCAGGTTTTTTTTGTAATGCAATCCATTTGGGCACCATCTGAGCATGGCAGACTTTTAAAACGTTGTCTAGACTAAGCTATTATGTGTGGTTTCTCTGCGTGACTCATACTGTTTCAGAGGAGAGCTTTGAAGACCTCAGGAAAGTCGGGAACCTACACATGGATGTGCTGTATTCGGCATGGTGACTGAATATTGCTCCTAAGAATTGATTTGCCCAGATAAAAAAAAAACTTTTTAAACCTCTTTCTGCATTTAACAACACTTAAAATGTCTGATCAGCCTCGTCTTCAAAGTTCCTTTGAAAGTGTGTAATCAGGTGGGACATGGCAGAGGTCACAGAGCACGGGGGGCGGGGGGGTGGGGGGGCTAAATTGTTTGTGGAATCTTCCATCTGCTCCATCCCGGGGGGTGAGAAGCCACGCTGAATGTGTGAGAATATCAAACAGCCAGAAAGCAAAAAAAAAACAACGTCCTCACACGGTAGGAGGTGAAAAACAAGAAGAGAATATAATGGCCGTATTAATATGGTAAGGACAGAAGCAGCGGGGGTCACATCTGTATGACGGAGCCCTCAAACACAGTAGTTAGAGCCAAGCACACCTTCCTCACCCCCTCCCCAGCACCCTGCCCCCCCATCTAGGTAAAGACCCCCCGAGGGAGAACTCATCAGCACCCTTCCACTGCTTTTCAATTTGCACGCTTCCTCAAAGCAGGGCTCTTCTTTGAAGATACCTCCTCCTCCACCGCTCCCCCCCCCCACAAAGACTTTGCTCTGTCTTCCCTTCACAACGGGTGCCTCTCAATCTGTCCACCCTAGATGCTTACTGATAAGCCAAAATCGGGCTCATATCGTCTCCCATTCAAATGATCCTGCAGGAATTTGCCTCACAGTGGAGCGATTTACATCCCAGAAACTGAAAAGAAAAAAAAAGAGAGAGAATGGAGAAACAGGAAAATGCAGCTGAAGCGCTGATACACTCATGGCCACAAGACAGACGAGAAGCATCTCATTAATGGCAGAAGCGAGTCCCGTCCTGCAAAACAGAGGCTGCATCTAATGCTCCTAATTATCCACCTTGTTACTGTTTTTTCTGGGAGTGTATATGGAGATCAGTGGGGGTCATACATAAAGACTGTCCCTGAGAGATTCTCCTTGGGGGGGGGGGGCATCTGAAAGTCTGAAGTACAGATAAATAGGCAGACGACATGGGGAACTGTTGTAATCATCGGGGGCAAAGGCAGCTTTTGCATGACTGACAGAGCAGACTGCTGACTGGGGTGATAAGCGGCCGCTGTGAGAAACAGAAGCAGCTAATACACATAATATAATATATTATATGGTTACCTCGCTAGTGTTCAAATGCCTTCTCCATGCGTATCCACGCGTGTCACATAATTTTTAATCAGTAACTAAGTTTGCCTGGCATTTAAATACAGACCTATGCAGAGCCGAGCAGGAGCGTGTTAAACGGTCTCCACAAACTCCACAAACGAAAGGAGTGCTGGAAGACGAAAGGAGTGCTGGAAGACGAAAGGAGTGCTGGAAGACGCCATATAACAGATAAGTAACATTTACTGAAGGGTAAAGGGCTGTATTCCCAAGGTACCAATAGGTCCTGCTGACATTGGCTCTGAGACACTGGAGAGAAAGTCCTGTGAAGACATGGGGGGGTCATCTATAAATCACAGCCCCTCCCCCAATCCTGTAAGCCTCCAAAGCCAAACCCCACCCCCTTCCGCTGCTGTTGTTCCAGGTGATCAGGCTGCTGGAGAAGGTCACCACACAGCACCTGCTTTTTCAGCCTTATACCAATAAACGTAGCCCACCCCCCCTCCCCTCCCCCCCACCCCAGAGGAAGCCAAGCAGTGGGGGTGTTCAGTGGGAGGGAGAGTTACAAGTAACAGATCTGGTACATTTCACATGAAGCTAAAACAAGAGAGCAGCTAAATCCGAAGAAATTAAACGCGGCAAAAAGATGGGAAAGAAACGTCATAAAAATGACAAACAGAGCATGTGTCCCTTTCCAGAACTACTGAAAAATACTGTGCCACCCCCCAAAAAAGACCTCTTAAGACTCTTAAGAAACAGCAACGTACATACAAATAGTTCTGTGCCACTTATAAAAGAATAATTTTGAATATCCCATGGCACAGAAACAGTGGCATCATGATATGGATATAAAAATTTCCAAATGATTGATTTTCTTAATTTTATTTCAGGTGGCACCAACCAGAAATTGCACAACATCGGATCCGGTGCACTTTAATGGGCACTTTATGACTGTATGTGTCCCTCTGCGACGTAATTCTGTGAGCTAATGACTTATTTGTGAAAATGAGCGGCACGAAACAAAACGAGATGGCTTCACGTACTCCTCGTAGGTAGTTATGCATCGAAAAAACAGCAAACCTTAAGAAACATAAAACAACCCCCACCTCCCCCCAACACTAAGGAGTGTTTGCGAGCGATTATCCCCTGACTGGGAGTGTAACTATGCAGCAGTGTTTAATGTCACCTAGAAAATACTTCAAGATCAGGACGAAGGATTCCTCTGCCGAAAGGTGAGTGTGCTGGGAAACGGTTTGTTTTTCATTCCCTTGCATTGTCTGCTTGCTGCCCAGCAGACCCCAGGGGTCAGCGTCCCTCGGACAAACCGCTATCATATTTCAGCGCCGCAGAGCCGGGGCTGATCGTGGGGGCCACCTGGTGCATAATAGGAGGCTTCAACAGCCCAGTCACTGAAGGCACCTGCATCAGTGCAGGAGAGATCTGAGCTCCCTAGCTGCCTATTAGCTGGACCAGGTCGGACATAATATAGGAATTCCACCAGAGTATTACAACCTTCAGACGAATGATTGAACGTCTCCTCTCAGACAGTGAGAGAGCTGTGCTACCCCTTACAAGCAGCAATAACGCCAATCGCTATCAAAATTTTAACAGGAAAATATCACAAGTCCTGTTAGCAACACTGCGAAATTCTTATTTCACAGGAAAAAAGTCATGCATAAATTAAGCAACATGACAGGGCTCAGCTCAACAGTGGTTAAAAAATGAAGGTTTAAAATGACAGCAAAAAGAAACACGAGCGTCTCTAAGACGACTCACATCATTTTCATTATCCGTTCCTCTTTACACATCCCCTTTTATTGACAGTCATTCTCCGCTCCGTCGTTCTAAACCGCAGGAAGCCGGCACCCCCACACAAAGCAGGCACAGGAAGAGAGCTCGATCCATGCTGTGCGCTGGAAAGGCCAGCGAGAGCGGGCTCTGCTCTTCTGGTCAGCTCACAGGGTCATGTCGCCTTTGCCAGAGAAATGCAAATGCACGAAACTGGTGTTTTTAAAACCTCGGTACCATACCATGCACTCACATAACTGCTTTGTAGGGTCCTCTGCTCAACAGTTTAGCAGATCAGCGATAATCATGCACCCAGCCCTCAGGAAAAATCCCTAATCCACCCATAATTCAACCAGGGAAATGAATGAGCGTGTGACATGGGACGTCTCAGCCTGTAAAGATCTCTGGGGACATTTTTGCGAGGTATAATGTCCTTATGTGATCTATACTGCACTCGTTCTGAACGAGTCTCCCCCTAGTCACCCATTCACACCATCTGAGGAGGTGGCTTTCCGATCGATACGGGGTGCTGTTACATAAGGAACACGCCTATCAAGATGAACGACAGCAGAGCATAAGGTTTAGCATAAAGGGATAATCGGCCTGCGTAATTAAGGGCAGGGGCTACAAAGTAGAGCCAAGAAGTGAACAGCAAGAGCCCAAACCTAACCCAGCTGTGCGTAAGCCACAGCCTCACAAAAATTCCGTCGTCTTTGAAACACAAACGGCAGAGGTCAGGACCATCCGCCTAGAATCTTTCTCTGGCGGGGGGGAAAAAAAACAAACCAAATGAATGACAATAAGCGGTGCCAGATTGTCCGGAGCCCTAGGGGAGCCAGACGCAGTCTCGGCAGATAAGAGCGGCAGAGAGAGAGAGGAGCCTGAGGTCTGGACGGAAAGGAGGAGTTCTGCAAGGGAGCTGTTCATCTGACCTGAATGGAGCACGGGGGGAGATTAGGGGAGATCCTGAACGAACAAGTAGAAATCAAAAGCAACTGAGTCAACTGTGACCCCTGACCAGGCCTACATAGGCATGAGGCATCGCAGAGGCTCCTGTGGTTTTCTAATAACCGGTGTTCAGCAGAGTAGCGGGCTGTGAATATAAGGCACACGGAGTAGTCAGGGGGGTGTGCGGCTTGGAGTGTTAAGCTGCTGTGCCTGTGATTGGAAGGTTGCCGGTTTGAATCCGTATGGGGCAGCAGAGAGCTTTCACCGCTGAGCAAAGCCCTTATAACCCCCCAGCCGCTGCAGGCAATGGCTGACCCTGCTTTCTCAAAATTGTATTTTTTGGATAAAGGCGTCTAGATAAAGTGCCTCACACCTCTGGCACCTGGGTTCGAGTCTCCGCCATGGCTCCATATGTGTGGAGTTTGCATGTTCTCCCCTTGTCGTTGTGGGGTTTCCTCCGGGTACTCCGGTCCCCCCCCAGCAGACCAAAAATATGCCAAGGCTGATTGCAGTTGCCAAATTGTCCATAGGTGCCCTTGAGTGAGTGGGTAGTGTGTGCGTGTGCCCTGCGATGGGTTGGCACCCCGTCCCGGATTGTTCCCTGCCTTTCGCCCGTAGCCTTTGGGATATAGGCCCCGGACCCCCTGTAACTCTGAATAAGTGGTTACAGAAAATGGATGGGTGTGCATACAGCTACTAGCCCCAGTTGAGGGGAACACGCATCACATGCCTGACACAGCACTGTCGCTTCTGTTATATAGGACCACCTGGCCCGCGACGCGGCTGCGAATTGAAGCGACCTGACAAACCGAAGCCCCACGCTGCTCTTCTCACCTGCCCGTGAACCGGCTGGCTGATAGGTGTCACCATGAATGAAGCGCTTATCCAGCTCCACCTGAGGCCCCGTGTTTGAACCAGGTCACCACGGCGTTTGTCCTTAATTAACAGGTTTCACTAAGTGTCACTTCTCCTCACTGCCCTGACACCACGAGCTGACTGTTCATTCTAATGTCCAGTCGAAATAAACAAAGTATGGATGTTAGCAAACAGGATTATGCTACCCTGTTATTCACATCCAGGGTCCTCGTGTTCCTTAGTATCCACAACATAAAGGAATGGGTCCAGGATAGCAATCTTATGTGCATAATTAACAGGATCTAAGCCAGAAATACCATTTAATACCTAACATCAAGGTATTAATTCTTAAGGATTGTTTTCAAGCACCTGAATATTATGCATATACGCGGCTCCAACAAATATCCATTTCACAAAATAACATTATATATCTTTGCTGTTATTTCTTTCTCCGCGCACAGTAGTTCTGTATACCGACGTCAACGTCGCCGAGAATACTGCCCGTTACCATCAATTTGTATGATAAAGGCCTGGAATTCCTTTCAATATGCGGGATCCCCGGACTCACAGGCGCGCGCACACACGCACGCACGCATCCATCAAACGGCGAATTCCGACTATCACCAAACAAATGTACGCAATTCGCTTTTTGCTACATCGTCCGACATTTCACTGATGCTAACTGCGATTAGATCCCAGAATTAAAAAATAAAATCATGTAAAGAAAAAAAATCTTGCTTCACTCCATTGAAACAGTGCAATCCTAATTGTTCTAAAGCCAAGTAGTATTTTCAATAATTTACAAAAAGTAAAGCCAAATTAAAACTTTTATTTGTTATTATTTAGTTACTAGGTCAAATTCCTACAAATAAAAGTAATAAAAAGAATCGAGCATACGAATGAAACGGTTATCATGCAATGAACTTCTAAATGGGTCACAAGACCTATAATCGGATGTGTTTTATGTACATTGATCTTACTTGGGGCACAATTCAAAGGAGATTCAGAGTCCATAGGACTGCATTATTTCCAGCTCACCTCGTTGCTGGCACGTCACTAAGGATGCACCCAGAAGCACGACTGCAAGGCAAGTCCTCATCTTCTTCCAGATTTCTCATCAAAATGAGAAATGTTCCTGCTTTTTGTTTGTATTGTTTTATTTTCTTCCTACGTTGTTTTCACCGAGTCGATCCTTTCTTCTCGGTGGCTTCCAGAAGTAGTCCCCCCCTCCGCTCTTGTCCTTCTGCACTTTCATTCACCATCAACTTTTGTCCGAACTTTTCATCCCGTCCCGCTACAAAGTGGCAGGCTCTCTGGAATGCACCATTCCCGGGCTGAGGGGGGTGTGCACGACAGGGACTGCGGTCGGGGCTGGATTCATTACCCCTACCCCCGCGCACCCCCAGCAAACTAGGAATGCTAACAACAACGGCGTAATAATAAAAACAACAGAACAACAAAAATACTGATGATGATATTAATATTATTGCACCTTGCGACCCTGCTATATAAGCGGCGTAGTTTTCACGTATTATTCATATTGTGTTACAGATGCTATATTGATGGGCGAAAATGTTTTAATGATGTTTTTAAATTATTTTTAGCTTGTTAAATTAGGCACGTTTCAAGTGAGCGTAGACCATTGCAATTAGTTCTCGTCGCTGGTGCTGTATTCTGCAAATTCATATATATTCAGTCTTCTGCCCTATTTTATTGATCGCATTTTTCTACTTAATTAACTAGGCCTATTTTTGCTTTGAAGTTGTTGTCTGTTGAATCAAAAGGAAGTCCATCCATCCATCTTCTGGCCACTTATACGGGGTCCCCCAAATAAAATTGGGGTGTGAACAGACCCCGTTAACTGTGTTGTCTTCTGGGTCAGCTGGCAGCAGCTGTCACTGCATGTCTAATGCTTAAATGGATGAGAGACAGAGCCTATATCTTCACACAAACAGATTAGCTACACACACTCAGGTCACCAGGGTACTTATTGGCCTGCCCCGACAGACCGCTTTTTTACTATTTAGCCTTTGGGTCCAACTGATACATGATGCAACAGCAGTATCAGACTCCCAGTCTATAGGAAGATCTTGGGGCCTTAGCAGTGGGTTTTCATGGTAGGAATTTTAGCTGGATTTTAGCTGGATTGCGGTTGGGCATTTAGTTAATTTACTGAGCCACAAAAATAGACAAATCCTTATAAATATACGAAATTTTAAAATGAGGAAAAAACTGAGAAACAGAAGGTGTCAGACTTTGAGGTGATAGTTTGCTTGCTGTACCAGCAGATACTCTGATACGGCCCTTTTTTATAGGAGCTAATTGCCTGACTAGTCTGCAATAAGATGAAATTTGTGTTCGGTGGGGCTCTCATTACCTTCAGGAGCAGATGGGGTGAGAGTGACTAAAGAGAGAGAGCATCTCTGAAAGCGAGACTGCTGTAGAATGGCCAGTAATTGATCACAAATTAAGCTGGATAGCGCTACAGTCACGTTAGAGCGGGGACTGCGAGGATGTCAGAGTGCGTTTACTGCATTTAATTGTAATCAACTGCTGGCCTGGCGCTGACTTTCTGGCGAATGTGGAGATTTACTTTCCCGGACGATGTGATGAGAGATGCTAGATGTAAATTAAGGCTGAACGAAAGCAAAACTAAGCAAGTTCTGAGTTTCGTTTCAAACAGATTTATCGCAGGGCCAAGCATAATTCCCAGTTATATAAAAGTAAGTAGCCGTGCAAATTATCCTTCACCCAGCCTGATCAAACAGAAACAGAAAGAGAACTCGAGGGACACTGGCGACCCCAGGGAGGAGCTTGGGGGGCGCTTTAGCCCCTCCTACAATGACAACAACACCCCTCCCCCCAAAGAAACTGCTTTTTATATCATATGTCTGTGAAATCTGTAGTCTAGAAATATCTTTTTAAACCATTTTCATGTGCTAACGGAATATTTTTCTCAATATCGTGATAAAGATATGAAATAAAGTTAAAATTTGCTACTTTCGGCATCATAGCCGTTATTTCGTTTCATATCTAGTGGTGTTTATTTTATTATGCTACTCCTGTTTATTTATTTACAAAGTAAAAGTCTGAGGAATGCCATTTTCTATTGTTCTTTCCATCTTGGTCTTTCATTCAAGCGCAGGGCTGTCAAATTCCAGTCCTGGGGGGCCGGAGCCCTACATATTTTTGGGATTCACCTCACTTAACACACCTGATTCAAATCCTTGTGCTAATTACCACACAGCTCTTGAGCTGAATCATTTGTGGTGGAAGGGGGAAAGAACTAAGCTACACAGGGCTCCGGCCCCCCAGGACTGGATTTTGACACCCCTGCTCTAGCACATAAACCCACACATTATGTGTTTTATCGAATTCTGCCATACAATATAATATAGTTTTAAATTATATACAAACTTTGTTCTGTTGTTTATAGGAACAACAATGATCCTCAGGCGGCCGATAAACATGAGACAGTCAGCCTCCCATGAACAGGATTCTCGCCCCAGGTCACAGTGCCCCGCAACCAAGGTTACCACATCTCACCTAATACTACAGACCTATACTTAGCAAATAGGCCTGTGTTGTTTTAACTGCCTTGCTGACAGAAAACAATATATACTGGGGTTTGGGGTTCAGGTTTGCTGGTTTTATACATGTAGTATATATTTTTTTGTCCAAATATTATTTATTTATTTATTATTGCTTCTGTCGTCGAAATTAACCAAGTGGACCCTCCCCAATCAGCAAAATGTATGTCCCGCATGGTACCTGCAGCATTAAATCACTGGCGCCACCCCCCGCCGAGGGATCGGACGTACCACGAGCGGCGGACCTTGAGAGGAGGAACACGGAGTCTTTGTGTATCTGCTGTAGGCTACTAGACTAAACCTGCATCGAGTTTGGACATTGCGGAGACATACCGGAAAGTACCTTGAAGTGTCATTTTCTTATGAGAAGGTTCTGCGTGGAAACCGGGCGGCTCCATACAAGCAGCCATTAGCGCGAGATTCTTCCTTTCATGTTGCATTATGTGATCGGAGTTGTCACGGAGAACACCAGCCTCACGCTCGGCACAGACCTATTTATACGTTTCATATATTTTTTCCAGGTAAATATGGTAAAAATGAAATAGTATTCAGTACATTAACCCAGAATATATTTGTCCCTGCAGAGATTTGTCTAGTGGGACCTGTATTCAGTATCAAGGGCTTGGTTGTGGGGGTTGAGGTCTCCACCCACTTAAGAGGGTCCAGGGCTGGTTTTGATTATTGGGGGGTTACAACCAAAAGGAATCAAAAGGAACAAGCCCCCCCCCCTGTACTTTATGCCCATGATTGGCATTCACAAAGGAACTTTTTGTACTGGCAATCGGCAGTTCTTTATATTCTACTCCTCTATGGCTAAAGGAAATTGCTAAAGGAGGGTAACAGTGACTCATTAAAGAGTGTCGTGCTTCAGCATAGGATGAAGGTGGCCACTCAGAATGGTTTAGCATTTATTGACGTGGATAAGTCATTGAATGTTTGTAAATCCTACCAGGAATACACCCTCCACACCGTAACAGTCAGGATGTTTACATGCACAGCTAAGTCGAGCTACGGTTATAGTACGTTCATGTCCCAGTATACAAGCATGGGAGGGGAATCGATTTATTGACATAAGTATGTCTAACTCCGCTTCAATAGGTGGCGATACGGCTCCTTTCAGCTTGTTAGTATTGGGCTTTTTCTGGTTGACATACTATGTCACAGACGTAAAAAAAAATAATAAAATTAAAAACAATAGATTAATGGACAAATGAAGTGACACAAGCTTTAATTGCGAACTGGTCGGAAGAACAGATCCAACAAGAAAGATAGGGAAGACACAGAATGAAAGTGAGGTTGTGGTACTCTGATGTGTCTGATTGCCTCTTTGGAGTGCTAACTGTCCAGGTAATGTCCATGGGGGAAGTGGGGGGGCTGTATTTCTTACCCACCTTAATATCCTTAGCCATCAGTCTAACTGTGGCTGAGAAAAAGCTGTTGTAGAATTGTGCTTTGTGGTGTCTTAGGTTATATCCTAAGTTCTTCCTCCCGAACAGGCAGAATGCTGGGAGATGTTGATCACTGAGTATACCCTGAGCTATCCTCCTACTGCGCAGTGATCAGGATAGCATGGCAAGAAATAAAGTATTTTGTTTATATAACTATGACAGAATGGTTTTGGAAAATTTTCAGAACTATTAACAAAATACCTCGCCTCATGTTGTGATGTCATTCGGCACCGGTACCTTGAAATACTATACATTTGCACCTTCTTGAAGTACCAAAAGTACGGTACCTGGTGCGGTGGAAAAGCGCCCTTTGGTCGAGCGGTGAATTGGACAGCTTTACAGTGTTGTACATTTCGTATGTGTTGTACGCCCTCTACTGCGCTCCAAGCTTCTTCTGTGCACCAGCTTCTCCTGTTACCTTGGGTTATCTGGGTGTCTTAGTCCTACATTGAGGATTTCAGTCAGGCTGACATGTTTACATGTACTTTAAAAGTCTGGTTTTAGTCGGACTAACACAGTACATCGATTTCCTTAGTGTGAATGTAAACATACTTGAATACCTCTTCATTCTGGAACCCATTGGCTTGTTTTTGTCTGCACCACATGGAGTCATCATGCCTAGTGTGAAGATGGTGAACGATGACTCATCCGAACACTGGGCCCCTTTCCACTGCTCTACCCGTGGTCTTGGCATCAAGGCATCTCCAGGTACAAGAGGTGGTTCTTGCCCTGCAAACCAGCTATGATTTTGCACTCTGTGAAGTTATTCACAAACTGTGCTTGCGAAGCTGCCAGTTCACACAATAAACTTTGATTTAATACAGCGAGTGATAGGCAGTGATTTACACCCTCTAGTGGTAGAAAACGGAAACGGACTCGTTGCGTTATTTTGTAAGACCAGACGCTTTGGGCCCCATGTTTCACTTTAAACAACCAAAATTGCAGGAAAGTCATCAAAATCCATTCTAAAATAAAAAAGACATCCTCCACCTGCATTAACACTTCTTTAAAACGTGTTTGATTTGAATCAATATGGATAGGCAAATCAATGACTCATAAATCAGTTCCTTCACAATGGGGCCGCATTCTGAGAGCTGCCTTTTTGACACGTACATTGTGCGTTTGCCCAATGCGCCCTCTAGTGACACTTTTGCAGTATTCTTCTTTTTTTAAGTGGCCACTGGCTCATTTTCACAGCAAGCAAAGTGCTGACATATATTTAATTAGTGTGTGTTTATATT